GTAATGTAGATTCAAGTTTGTTCAAATCATGACCCCCCGGGTAGGGCGGGGCCACAATGGCCGACCATGTTTTACATAGAAATGTATAGGAAAATTCTTTAAAAATCTTCTTCCCAAGAGTAACAAAGCCATAATTGATCATATTTGTATGTAAGCATCTTCAGGTAATGAAGATTCAATTAAGTTTGTTCAAATCATGACCCCCGGTGGTAGGGCGGGGCAACAATGGCCAATCAAAGTTTTACATAGGCATATATAGGAAAATTCTTTAAAAATCACCTTACCAAGAATAGCAAAGCCATGATTGGTTATTGGACTACTTTTGGATTTAAAGTATTTAATTATAAACCAATTTCTACTTTTTCCTAGTCACAGTGCTCAGGTGAGCGATGTGGCCCATGGGCCTCTTGTTATTTAATATATACCATTGGTGAATCTTTATCAAGTTAATTTAAAAGTGAATTTATTTGAATTGATTACATTAAATCCTCATTTCATTCATAGCAAGGGTTTACCCATACCCTGGTTAACTATACATGTGTATATAATGCTAACACCTGCTATGGCTCTTTTAGTCCTGTAAAAAAAAATTCTTAAGTTCTACACCTTTGATAATTTTGCTAATCAAAATCATGACAGAGAAACATGTTTGGGGCATTTTGAAGGACTATCACAGCTATTCTACTCAATGTCTGGTCATTATTATAGACCAAGGCAGTATGAATACATGTAGTTTTTAATCTTTACAGATTTCCATAGAATCTGTTAGGTAACGCCTGACTCATTATTTAGATCCAATATCCCATGTCTGTGGGGACAGCGGAATAACTGTTGTAAAAGAAATTTTTACAGAAAAAATATTCTGTCTGCATGGTTTTGATTGAACAAGGCTATTACAGGTATTCGATGTACTTCATGTTATCTCTGCAATCACTGCAGTGGATAACAATATGAAAATATTTGATGTGGATGTTTAAAGGACTGCATGTTTGACTGGTTTTGTCTGGATTTTTTTTTAAGGTTAAAAATTTAATATAATTAAAACTTAAGTGTGTTAAAATTAACTCAATTGATGAAATATATATATATTTCCATACATTAGAGTTTATTGCAGCTATATTATATCAGCCTAGCATACAATTGCAGATCTAATGAATATATTTCATTAATTTTTACAAAAGTAACAGTGTCCCTTTAATATATATATCAAGTAGCCAGTAATTGGCTTCAAAGGAAAATCTTGCAATATTTACCCACAAGTAATATTTAAATATCAGTAAACCGTAAATAAGGCATTGATATCACTTTGGAAGCCCCCTCTCAAGCCATTAGTAGTGCTTGATATGTCATCCAGCCAATATGTAAAGACCCCTAAATGGAATGAGAGATAAGACTAATCCATGCATGTAATTCCTTTCAGTTGATAATTAGAAATGGTTTTAGCTTATCATATCTTGTTTATGAGTTATTACCCCTAGTGGCAGGAGGGGTAGGGATATGCAAATCTGTACAAATTGAATATCACCCTGAGGATAAAGAGAGGTCAATATGGTATTGTGTTCTGCCCCATCCCAAGGGCAGAAGTTTCTCAGAAGGGCAAGGAATCTGCCGGGGCCAGTTGTTTTGGACATTAATTATCAGATTTGTTAGTACTAGGCTACTGCCATAAGTTGACAGTTTGTGTGTGCCAGTAATTTGTGTTAAGGAGCCTGTAACAATATTAGCTCGGTCAATACGACTCTTGAGGACTGGCGTTATTTTTCCAAGTCATTTGGAAAGTTTGTCCTGCCCTTTTTTTTCCCTTTCCTTGGTATTTACTTTTCTCTGAATTGTGGATGCCAGAACTTGTGGGACATAAAAACAAACTGCTGTTTTCCATTGTGATGGCATGAATGGTGGACAAATAATTGCGTTTTCATCACACCCCAGTATCTGCAGTGGGATATGTATGCAGTCTACCCCAAGCTTTGTATTTAGACATAGATAACTTCTGTATACCTTAATTCAGGTTTTATTAAAATTCTTGAAGGAAGAATGTGATCCTCATACCTGTATGTGGCAAAATACACATCTCCTGTATTTAATGAAAGAGGTTTTGAAATTGACGGGATTGATAATTATTATGTAGATTAATATATGCATTATGCGGTGTGAACATGAATATTATAAAAGAATGAGATTTTTATACCATGGAAAAAACTGTTTCAAAGGCATACACGTTGATTACAAAGTTACAGAAAAAGTATGGATTTAAGACCAAAGGATTCATTATTCCACCAGAGAGAAACAACAACAGGGCAAGTATAAACATTTTGTGGTATGATGTGTCATTCTGTTGAAACCTTTTTATGAATGAATGGTTCATTATCAGATGTTTAACTCGTTAAAAAAGCTTAAGAAGTTGACACTGGCTGATCTAATGATAACATTGGAAACATTCTATAGAGACTGTGTTGTTTGGTTGTCCCTGGTATCTTTGATCGGTGGGTGGGAGGGAAGAAGAAATCAGCTAACTTAATGCTGAGTCTTACTTTTACAAATTTTGCTACAAGAAAAGGGGAGAAGAACAAAACAAAAAAAAACACTTTTCATATGAACTAAAAAAAATATATTTACCTTTATTAATTCAGAGTATAATGAGAAATCTTGAAAACAAAGTTATACACTGTGAGATCGATACTTGATAATTAAATTAATTATAATCTAATAAAATTTTTTATACATTGAACTTAATTTTAATCATTATTATTACAGCAGAAATCATATTTAACATGTTTAAGAAGGTTGTCCCTTGTTTTCCAATGTGTTGTACATGCAGGTTAATTAATACATGTGTAATTATGATAAAAAAAAAAAGAATACTCTATTTTTGTGCTTATCAATCTGCAAATTTTTTAGTGGTGCTAATTCAAATTCATGTACAGTATATAGATTAAGTTTGTTTACGCAGCTACCATAGTTTAAAAATAAAGAAATCAATGGTAATAAAGACTATAGAAAGAAAAATTTGCAACTGTACGTAGTTCATTAAATTGCTATAGCAGATGTTACAAAGGAATATATAGGAGAAAAAACAACTCAGATGCAACATTAGGTGATGGCGAGGGGGATATTGACATGGTCTGGCTCTTTAGCATGCATCAGGGTTACATCACTTTCCTTAATGCTTATACAGAACACTATTGCACTATGAACTAAACCGCACACTGTGGTAAAAACATAAGGTTGATTCGGTTTATTCTTTGTGAGTGACATGTGTGTCCTAGTTGTTTCTATAAATCACCGTAAAATTGGCCCACAGGTAGGAAGTTTTTTCACCTGAATGATGAATCAATGAGTAGATGACTTTAGCAGGAGGTGGTTGCCATTAATTAAATAAAGTCTTTGAATTATGATGATCAGGGTATATATAATTTATAAATACTGTAATTTATTCATATATATCAAAATGACAGTGTGACGAATATCGTGCGGGAAAACTCTCGATTTCCCTTCCCATAACGAAGATTGCTGTAAAAAAATCTTCCTTGACCTAATATAAGATAGATGGAAATAAATAAACCATTCTGACAGCGAATAAAACTGTCAAAATTACCAAAAATATGTTGCTAAATTCATGTTTACAGTGTTTTCACCTCACTTAGCTATGACGTCTCAACCGCTCAACTATGACGTCACGAGCCTATGACTATATTACAAAAAGACAGAGGCAAAGGAAAAATCAAAGAATTTTTTTTTTAAATGTAATAAACAGAAAATTCAATGTTTTGTAGTTGAATATGGAATTTATTTCACTAGACTCGTGCTTCGCACTCGTGAAAATATAAAAAAAATCCTGTCCCACTCGTGAAATAAATTCCATATTCAACTACAAAACATTGAATATCCTCTATATATATCGCACAGTATAAGCACCAAGTGTTTCTAATAGAAGCTCCTTATACCTAGAATATGGTGACCTCAGCTATTCTTGAGATTTAGTTTGAAAAATGAACATTCCCTGTAAATGTTGATTTACTATGAGTGCAATGTCTACATGAACACATATCAAATATCGCCATATATTTAAGTATTCAATTAAAAACACTGTCTATTTAAAAAGGTTGATAAGTAGATTTATCTGATAAAGGTTGAGGTTTTTCTTTTTTTGCATACTGAGTCAGCTTCCTATATAATGTATTAAATGTGCATTGATTGGGGAGTGTTTTCTCTGTCTCCTCTATTCTATACACCTGTGTCTGATCCAAGCTGTCGTCAGCAAAAGGAGGATTATTCTAGTCTAGGACCACAGTTTTACAGGGATATTGTTGTGATGTGACATTGACTGTTAGCTTTTTTAAAGAATGATGTTATTTCTTAACGAGGATTTGTATTGCTTCTGTTGTAGGACATTTTGCCTTATTTCTGTGTTGTCGAATATTTTTTCTTGGTCAGCCAAAAAAAAACTTGAATTCATGACTTTGTGTAACATCTGGTATTTTATTACATTCTATTGGTAAATTTCTGAAACTGTAAGAAGTTCCCAGAATGAAATAGGATAATTGATACGATATACACAAGTTCACATTTACGTTTTTTTTTGGGGGGGGAGGATTTGATTTCGTTAATTTATATTGACATGAACCATCACAGAAGTTTAATGTTGTTCATATATATATTTCAATGATGAAAAATTAGCCAACCAAAACTATTGCAAGGGTACATAAATTGTGAATGTCAAATCAATTTGAAATGATGGAATCATAATTGAAATCAAAATTATCAAAGGCTTTAAGGATTTCTTAAATTAATGAAATGATAATTATGAAGTCGAAGATTTGAATGGCAGTTTGCGTTTTGAGCTGCACAATTTTTTAAAAAAATTTTGGTAAACTGTTTGATTGGCACTTGATATAGGTTTTTAGGCCAGCATGCAGACTTAATAATCTTGAGTTGATGTGAAAGTTCAAGCAATCTGCAGTTTAGTGTTTATTGATCAAATTGGGTATTAGTCATAAAAAGCATGAGCAACATGTGCAGCAAAGTTGAACTTATTTCAGGAGAGTTTTTTCCCTATAACTGTGCCGTATGTTCATGTGATTGTCAGGTTAATATTGGAAGACTAAACGGTGTTGGATTTTTAGCACAATCTGCATAGCAGCTTTTGTGGAAATATAATAACTTGTAATTATCACACCAAAAGAGAAGACATACTTGATAAATGGAACAGTTTAAATATTGTTATGCAATGTTAATACACCGCTTAGGAATACCTAGGCCTTGATCAAGGAGACGAGATAGAAAGTGTGAAATATGAATACCCCTGATTCAGCAGAGGATCAGAGCTTTCGGGACTTTGAGTCTGCTATTATGGAAATACAAGGCAGACTACAGTTTAAACTTATAACCAGAATATACTTTGGATGTGATTCTGAACAATCCGAGGTAAGGGAGATAATCTGTTTGCCTGGGCACTTGCACCTTTGCTGATCAGAAGATGTTAATGAGTGCTCTAAAGATAGATTATAATATATTTTAGTATAATGTCACATTTAAGATTGTTTTTGACAATTTGGGGGGGGGGGTGTATATGGTAGATCACTTATGCCTGTATGTGAGCATCTAGGTTCAGAAAAAATGATCAAAAGCTTCTTAAGTTGGCAGTGCACATTTCTGGGTTTTTTTTTTTTTTGGAAGACAGTATTTTTCCTGCGAAGCTGTACATTTGTGTATACATGATGTACTTTAAAAGAACCATGTCGGTTAGAGCTAGAGAGATGTTTACAATTTGTGTGTAAAACAAGTCTTTCCATGATGTAATGAATGATGCACATATCTTGCCATATGTTCTGCAAAATAAAAAAGAAAGCATAGTAAGAATCAGCTAGTGGCGTTACAAGTTCCAGTCTCTCTCAGAAAATTTGTCTTATCTTTGTCTAGGCTAGCGCAGAAATAATTCTTTCTTCCTCAATGGGTGTTTATCACTCTTTGCAAAAATGTGCATCTAAAGAGTCATAAATCACAATTACGTTTGACTATTTTTCAGATTTTCTGTGGCACTTGATGAACTCTTCCTACATTAACACACCTGTATTGGTCTATAATATTTGTGTTTGTAAACACTTTTTTACCTGGCTGCAAATTAAATGTCTCGCCTGGAAGAAAAGTGCATTTTTCACGGCATTGTGATATTGACAGTTATTACGATGATAATCTATTGAAATGATGATGAAGGAATTATGGAATATGGGAAAATAAATATTGCCATTGGTGAAAAATGATTTAAAGCAAAATTCATCTTCAGAATGGTGTTCTCAGGAACTTTTAGCAATTAATTATTTTTTGTGTTTAGGTCACTTTATGTAAATTTATTAGTCATATCCTGAAGTTTATGCTCATGTGCATATAAAAAAAACAACATGCAGTGACAAAAAAATGAGCGTGGGAGTGTACAGTTTTTGTTTCCATATTATCAGATCATTAATTTTCAGACTGCAAGAAGTTATTTAATCTTCTTATAAGAGTTTTATTTTTTCTTTATTGATTTTCGTTGAGCTTATTCAGAGTTATCTGTATGAGGTGTGATGACCTGGAATACAAGAACTGTAAAGGTAAAAAACTATAAAAGTTTCTTGTTTTTTTTTTTAAGTTTCTCTATTGAGATTTTTTTTTTCAGGGGTGGATAGGGGTGGGGTGGGGTGGTTTGTCTCGCTCTGTTTGTCCATAAGGACAGTGGTATGTGAAATTCAGAATTATTGCCATAGTCCTTAATTCAAGGTCTCAAAACATTCTTGTACACCCTACTTCTTGTTTTCTAACAGATTGCTTATCTCTGTCAACACAAAAAATGCAGTAACACATCCATTAGAAAATTGTTCATATAGAAAGTTGAATATGGCATATAGTTCTTTCATGAATTTTGGCTTAAAATGCAAAGAGACTTTTCTCAATATTAAACTTATTATATTTTCACTTAACATTTTATATCTTTTTAAAAGTAAAATAGAATTTCTGTATCTTGAACATCAAAATGTCCCCTTCCCCCTTTTTTTTCAGACATAAAGTTTTGCTTTCTGAAAGTGTTCATTGAAAAGTCCCTACTCTTTGTTCCAGTATAGTCAAACAAGGGTATAAGTAATGGTGATGCAGTAGTGTATGAATAAAATTTGGTACTAAAAGAAACTGGAACTTATCCCATGTCTTTATATAATAGAGTTCAACTGTATTATAATATAAATTACTGTGTCATGAGGTTATGTTTGTTTCATCAAGTTAGTAACATGTAGAATTTATTATTTCAGGATCCCACCCCAGCACACAGTGATGACTGGAGCCTGGTGGATAAAAATGGCCACCATCACCGCCTCCCCAAAACCATGCTGTTCATGGGGCGCGAGGAGTGTGATATTGTTGTCAAGGTAACATGTTAGGTGTATGTGTGATGTTGTCAAGGTAACATGTTAGGTGTTAGTGTGATATTGTTGTCAAGGTAATATGTTAGGTGTTCTGTTCATGGGGCATAAGGAGTGTGATATTGTTGTCAAGGTAACATGTTAGATGTTCTGTTCATTGTATTCTTCGGTATGAGGAGTGTGATATTGTTGTCAAGGTAACATTTTCAGATGTTCTGTTCATGGGGCATTGCCACAAAGTGTGATATTGTTGTCAAATTTACATGTAAGGTGTTCTGTTCATGGGAGGATAAATTAATGAAAAATGTGATCTTTAAAAATCTTCTTCTTGTTGTCAAGGTAACATGTAAGGTGTTCTGTTCATGGGGTGTGAGGAGTGTGATATTGTTGTCAAGGTAACATGTTAGGTGTTCTGTTCATGGGGTGTGAGGAGTGTGATATTGTTGTCAAGGTAACATGTTAGATGTTCTGTTCATGGGGTATGAGGAGTGTGATATTGTTGTCAAGGTAACATGTAAGGTGTTCTGTTCATGGGGTATGAGGAGTGTGATATTGGCTGTCAAGTTTTAACATGTATATAGGTCTTCTTCTTCTCCAGAAAAGGAGTGTGATATTATGAAAGCATAACATGTAAGGTGTTCAAGTTTGTTCAAATCATGACCCCCAGTGGTAGGATGGAGTGTGATATTGTTTTACAAGGTTATATAGTTAAATGTTCTGTTCCAAAACTATTGGGGATGAAACTAATGTGTGATATTGTTGTCAAGGTTACATGTTAAATGTTCTGTTCATGGGGTATGAGGAGTGTGATATTGTTGTCAAGGAAACATGTTAGGTGTTCTGTTTATGGGACATGAGGAGTTGTGGCCATAATGGTCAATCAAATCATTACATGTCTAAATGTTCTGTTCAAGTATGGCAAAATTATACATATATGTTTTATTGATATAGTGACATTCTCAAGTAAAAAAAATCAAATTCCTTCTACCCTAACAAGTAAACTTTTCAAAACTGCATGAGCTGATTTGTGTTTTTGTCTAGCCCATGTGTTCAGATGTTCTGTTTATTGGATTTTGTAGTAAACCTTTGACCCTCTCTTCTCAGAGATTGATCTTAATTGTGAATTTATACATCAATTATTTTCTGATTTTTTGAAAATATTTATTTCTTTTACTCCAGTTTACATATATTTTGAACTGCTGTTTGAATCTTGATTATCATGGTGTTTAACATTTCTCGTAAATTCTACCTTGCTAATGGAAAGTTTATCAGAGAAAAAAATGCATGCTGATAATTAAATCAGTAAAATTAAGAGGCATCACCCTTTAAGAAATCATCCATTTGTTAGAATGTATTTGCAAGTAATGGGGATCAAAGAAAGAAAAAAGTGTTATATGAAATCACAAACTATCATGAGCTAGGGCTTTCCATCTTTTAAGGCAGACTTTGGTAATGATAAGGAATGCTGTTCCTAAAATTTTATTCTTTTAATGTGTATGATGGCTGGGAACTGGCAAGCAGTCGTTCTGTTCTTGTTTTTGTAAACAGTCTTGGTAATTGATGAGTATACAGTATTAACATTGGGCTTTACTTCAGAACTTTATCTCAGACTTTGTGTTGAATTGTCTTATGTCGGATTCACATTTTTGACACTACATACATTAAATCTTAGTCACTTTTCAATCTGTTGCCGAGTGACTCAATGTGGCCATGCATACACACATGATTAGCCTTTAGCTATTATATTAACACTCAACTTGTCTTCTTGTCCTTTAAAAGTTTTAAAAAGTTGAAATTCTTAAAAGCCATTATTTTTGCAAATTTCACTAAAAGTGGTGAGGATTTTATGGCTAACATGAACTTAATCAATTAATACAGTAAAACTTGATAATTTATTTGACATCAATATAAGTCAATACAAAGTGGTCTCAGCAATGTATGAGAGTGACTTCCCTTGAGCTGGCTTCATCCTATGTAGCACAGCTCCATTGAACTATGACTGTTTATTATAGAGACACATCTAACCACAGTGTCACCACATGGCTATTGTAAGCTGTCCCGACTAGCACTAACTTCATTTTGGACAATTTTCTCGCCGGGGTAGGCTGTCTAGTGTTAAAAACAACCAGTCCAAGGTTTGGATTTGTGCGTTTTGTGGATTTTTGGTACGTATTTTGTAGATCTGTAAAATGTAAATTGATACGGATCTGTTTCATGTTTATTTTTGGTGTCTTATGCTTCATTTGGTAATGGAGTTATTGATTTTGGGGGACATTATGGTTGTACATATGTGGAGGTTTACCGAGCCTGTCAGTCAATAGATTACTCTGTCATATAAGTCCTACTGTCCTGCTCTTATTGATAATGTAATAAATTATCTGGACTGTCCAGAGTTATTGATAGTTTTGTATTGACCTGTGTACTGTATGTTATTCTGTGTAAAATCACTAGATATTTTGTAATGTGTCTTATTGAACTATATTTGCTCAAGTAGAACGTGCGAGAAAGCCAATATTTTTGGACAGTTGATTTGTTTTGATCAGTGCCAGAGTTATGCTAATAGAGTAAAAGATTAATATATACTACCATTCTGTGAGTGAATGGCTTTACATACATACATATAAATCATATTGGTTTTGTCCTTCGGGTTTTGAGGAGTTGGTGATAAGCACACAATGGAAACCAAGGATGAACAACTTGACAATGTCCTTAATGTAACATTATAGGGATTTGATTTATTATCATATTTTTAATATGAATTAAGAATGATTGATTTTCTGTATTTTGTTTAAAAAAATAAGTCACCTAGTACATGTATATTAAGGTTGCATCGTAATTTATTATATACGGAACTTTTAATTTTGGCTTTTACTTTTCTCTTACAAGGAAATGGAAGGGACCCCTTCACTGAAAATAAGAAAGGCTATAAATTTTATTATTCAAAATGAAATTATTTCCTTATATTTTCTTCAACTACCACACAATTGAAGAGGGTTTTGGGAAGGTTAAAAGAGTTACTTGGGAGTTTGATCCACATGTGGACAGTGGAGGTTTTGTATAATTCAGTTTTGATTGAGATTTTAAAATGTTTTTACAAGTATGTCTGTATACTTTTAAAATATACTTTTAGTTATTTTTCATGGTTATCTGGTTGAGTGTGTAAGTTTGCAAGTCACTATAAAATATTTTTGTTAGTAATTAATGTAGTTTTCTTTTCTGGAGGATTTATTTCATGAAACTTTCTTTTTGAAAAAAAAAAAATCCTGTCTTCAGGTAAAAAAAAAAAAAAGATAAGTTTTTACAAGGTTAGAGTATTGTTAAAAACAAACTTCAAAAAGATATCACTATTTTTATTTTTATATAATTGATTGTAAGTGTAGAAAATGTCTGTTTTCAGAAGAAATTGGAATTTGTTTTACATATTTATTTTTACAGTTCATTGACACATGCATCTTATTTTTTCAAGGCCTTGACACAAAGTCAAAGAGATTTGTTGTTTTTTTAAGATGTGTACAGCTGTCAATTATGTATCACAGAGAAGATACAAACATCACTGACAAGTACTGCATCTTTCATAAGATGTCCTTTGAAGTTTTGAACAATAAATTATGCATTTTTATTATTCTAAAAAATTATTTCAATATACCTATATTTCATTATTTTTAGAACTCAATTAAAAAAAATGTAATATTTTGAGAAGTAAAACTTAATTTTTTTCACAAGTCGGCGTATTATCTCTGATTTTATTATTTTAAATAGGCAAAGCTCTGGAATTTTTGTAGTAAAGCCAACCACATACATTAATTAGAGCTTATCTTCATTAATTAAATGTGTGCCAGTGCCTATGGGTAATTGATTAGGGGTTATTTGTGTATTGGCTATGGTTCAGTAAAAAACTGCACTACCATTCACTGTACAATAATGTCTAAAGAAGAGATGTCGACATGGTGTCGTATGTGTTCACAACATAACACACCCAAGAAAAACTGGAAATGTCTATATGTAATCTATATTACTTAACATATTACACCTTTATTTGATCGTAGGGAAGCCCTGAATGGTTTTGACTTACAAGTGCAAACTTGTTTTCTGATACCTTAGTTGAATGGCACTGTTTGCTAAGTTTTAAAAAGAATCAATACACTCAGTTGTGTCCATTCATCTGACAGTGAGCCCCGAGATAAGGCAGGAATTTTGGGTAATCCAAAAGAGGGTCAGAGGAATTTTATTAGTGAGTTCATTCCACTTCAGCCCAAGAGGGAGGGGAAGGGATGAACTTCAACAAGATGGGAGGGGAAAGGGTGACTCTTTTGAAGATATGAATTAGAGAAATATATACCATAACACTTGTTCAAATTTTTTTCTTGCCTCTATTTTCAAGTTCTGTAAGGTACTTGTCTGATATTTTTCCAGTGGTCAGATTGTCTCAACTCAGAAGGACAGACCATTACTAGAATTTTATGAAGTGCATTGCATACCAAGATTTACTTAACTGTCACTTTTATTGCCTGTACATTTTGTTCTGCAGTCAAATTACCATTTATTTATGTGCAAAGTGTCCCTTTCTTATGGGATTGTAGGTTGTTAGACTGTGGAGTTGTCATTTTCAGTAGGTACTATAACATGAGGACAATCTTTAGGTCATGATTTACATTTACTTCTGGTAATGGATGGGAATTTTTATATGTCAAGATGATACATGTATTTCTTTAGAGATTCAAGCTCTCTTAGTTCAGCTTCTTCATTTGATCTGGATACTCAGTCAAATCTTTTTCCATGGTACAGTGGTTGACTTGAAATTCAATGTATAGTGTTTACTTTGTATGAACTACAAATTTTATTGAGGTCTATAGATATATATATGTTTTGAATAAGACATTTTTGTGCCTTGATCAAATGGATATGTATGCAAATTTTGTGTCTCTGTCAAATTTAAATAGCCAGGGTTTGATAAAGAAAAATTGCTGTGAGACCTGATTGATATTCAGCATTCCGAAATTCAGTTTTCCGTGGACGTAAGTTCTACAGGTTATAAAATTAGAATTTCTGATTGCATGGGCCCCATACGTAAAAAAAGTTATGTCCAAGAGATAAGTTTGAAGAGATGAAGGTCACTTAAAGGCTTGTAAAACAGTATTTTCAATATGTATTCATGATGTATGCTGATTTTCAAAGGTGATGAACCATGATAAATCGTCCCTTTGAAAAAATTTGTTCATGATTTAATGTCAAAAACAGGTGAAATTGGTGTATCTGTTTGTTCCGGACGGAATAAATTGTGTGTGTCATTTGTTACTTAGAGAAATATAATGGGTCTGGAAAATGTTTATGGATATATGATTACATTATGTGATTGCAGATATTTTCATGGACCAAGAGATTGGATAAATTGTCATAAAGGCTACAGTCTAGATTAATCACTCAACATTATAGATATGAAAGTGTGTGTACTGACTTTTAAAGCTCCCCATATAATCGGGGTATCAAGGTAGATTATGCCTTTCATTTCTGATTTTTGTGGCTCTTTTAACATATGTAAAGGCCTCAAAATCCACAGAGCAGAAGCTAGCATTGATTTTGGACTGAATAACAAATGAACTCTGTCATGTGTCTTTCCTGACTAAAACCCGATCTGGTAACTAGGAAATTGGATAAGTATTCGATAAGTATCTGTCGGACATTGATATGGGGCCCTGTGGTTGGTGACAATGTGAGGTGTTTTTTGAAGGATATTTTTTTCATTTTGTGATTGCAGACACAGAGCGTGGACAAAAGACATGCAGTGATCACCTTTGACCATTATCTGGACAAGTTTAAAATCAAAGACCTCAGTACAAACCATGGGGTAAGTGTCCTTGCATTTTTTTTATGCTGGTTTTTAGTCATACCATGATATGCTCATTGATTAATTACCCCTATAATAAAAGACAGCTTTGGATGTCTTGCATTTAAGACATGATTCAGAAATTTTTTGCAACCCTTTCTTTTTAACGAGAGATAATTTGTATAATGGATGTTTTTAAAATTAATCACACTGGCGACATTTGCTGAGGTCTTTGTCTGCCAAACTTTTGATGTACATGCATTTGTCTGTCTAGGGAGATTAAACCAATTTAAGCCATTTTAATTTCCAAATCTTTGAAAAAGAAATGTTTGAATTTTTGTATTAACAATCTATTCTCGATGGAGACTCTGTCATTGATTGATGAATTTAAGGGGGGAGGTAGCATAAATGGAACCATGCCTTGTAGTCTTAAGTATGTCTTACCACGTTTCTCTTTTGTCAATTTCAGACATACGTGAACGACAAGAAGATTCAAGATCAGGAGTACGTGACACTGAATCACATGGACACCGTACAGCTCGGCAATGATATCCTTGATTAATTAAGTGACAGAAAGACGGCAGTCTCAGAATGGCTGTTATTGACATCAGAAATGAACACATTTCGTAATTTAGAGCACTGCTTTTGACGTCGCTGTGGATGCTGGTGTAAACAACAAGTTTAATGCTGATCGATTTGATGAAATGTCTTTGCTAGCTTTAGTTAAATGAGTAATATACAAGGTGCACTGATAATCATAAGGAAGCCTTTTATGAAAATAAGGAAACTATATATAAACACAATGTTTTATAAATGTTCTATAAAATCTAAGATTTGTTATGACAAATTCCCATTAGATTAAACTCGCATTTGATTAAGCCTGGTGAAAAAAAAAATTATATACCTCATTTAACAATTTGAGTTGCTTTTCCTTGACCAAAGGAACATTCCACCATGTACCACATAGAGAGGGTGCCTGACTCCGGGGTGTCATCGGGGGACCTTCAGGTGGAGAGGGCGCCCCCCTCAATGCCCCACTGGGCCTCCCGGGAACTTCCACATATGATGGAATGCCAGGTATTAATTTAGTAGTTACTATGTGACAATATTAGGGACTCATGGAGATCTGTGTAGAGTAGATCTAAATCTTCTGAACATTAAACACTTTTGCTACCACCCTGTGTAGCTCTATCATCTGTAGAACATGTTTTGTAAATAATTCTAAGATTAATGGGTGAGAGTAAAGGAATTACATGTACTAGCAGTGCCAAAGATCTGTTATTTGTACACTATAGTCATAATATTGTCATATTTACATACAGAATGCATTATGTTAGCAGAGTGCAACATCCAGTTTACTTATGTCATTTACCGGGTAATGTACGTAATACATGTACTTGGGGCCAGGTAGAAATTTGAAATGAGAGGTCCTTAAATAACTACTAGCGACGTTATGTCTCACAGACATATTTTACATCATGTTTTATGATAGTGACACAAACCACAGTAACTTGTACTAACTACATAACTTAGTTTAACGTTGGTCATAAAATTCTGACCTCGACTAACTTCTTTTTGCCAGCCGCCCTATGGAGGATTTGTTTTTACTTACCCTATCATGACCTGTTTGGTATGTTAGTTCAGTATTTCATGTTGTTTCTTTTTCTTAAAATGCATTTTTATCTGCTCATCCACCTGTACAAAATTTGATATACTTAGTATGTGTCTTTTATTAAGATATATGTTCATTAATTTTTTTTGAATCACTATTTGTTAATTTTTTATTAAGTGCTGTGTAGTTCTAGTATTGATTGATAAGTGTTTTAAGATATTGTTGATTTTTTTATTTTAATCTTTTCTGGCTTCGCTTAAAAAATAAACAAATTTTTAATTTCTTTTTCTCTGTAATTAATCATGCAAAGTTATCTTTCCTTTCCAAATAACTATGATTTGTTTATATACAATATATCACATCAAAAGAATTTCAGTTACTAGTATCTCATCTACTGCAAATAATAAGTAACACTCGTTACGTGCAATAAAAGCTAAACATTACCCAATCATCACTGATTAGCAGTCTATAACATCAATAAGAAGCTGCCCTATGTCTGTAACAATACTTGCATCACTCGGAATTCCTTGCCAAAATGTTCCAACAGTGTATTCACTTCATCAAGTCGTGTTTACAGAATGCTTTATCTGTTGTATTCTTGTTGTGATTATGTACAAATGTTTGTGAATAAGGGTACCTTTTCATGGTGAATTATAGGTAAGTTTACTCAATACGTAAGTTTTAGGCTCCTAGAAAAAAATTCCTGTAAATACTAATTACAAGAAATGGATTCTGTTGTAAAATTTTATCAAGTTCCTGCAAATGGGTGGGGTTGTCTAATGAGTTTATTAGAGTAAGTTGCATTTACATTGCTGCTATATGGGTATTAAATGATACACTTATGTTGTAGACAGAATGTTTGACTTGTAAAGCAGTTCTGTACAATTGTTTGGAAATCATTTCTATCAGAGGAAATGGAACAAAAAAGTATCCTCTTCTGAGAAGATCATACTATTGATATTAACTCTCTGACTGGAATATTGAATATTCATAAAGAAAGAACTTTTTTGAATTTTATTTATTTAATGAAGCTCTTGATTTAAAATGAATTATGAAGGAGAGTTATATATGTGTGTTCAAAGGAATGTAAATATATTCAGCTGTGTTGTATGATATTAAATAGAATTTTTTCTTGTTCCAGGGTTGTATAGCTGAACAAAGAATTGCACACACATGTGGAAATCACACATTAGACAATGTTATCAGTCAAAGAGAGCAGATGGCTGCAGATATGCAGCACGCACATCATGTGCAACATAGACCCCATGTGCATTCCATGCACCAGGATTGTCCTAAGCATGTGAATAAACATTCAAGTGAATATCCTCCATCCTTTCCTCAAGGAAGTGAATATCCTAGTGAATATCCACCTCCGGTTCCTAGAGGAGGTGAATATTCTCCACAGAGTGAATATCCTAGAGGAGCTCACTATCCAGGGACAAGTGAATATCCACCTCCTGGTGGTGAATATCATAGAGGAGGAGTTTATAGTGAATATCCAGCAGGGAGTGAATATGTGAGACACAGTGAATATCCAGATAGTGGACAGGATACACAGAGCAGAAGAGGAATGATGAACGCCCAGCAGGAGGAACAAAGTAAGATCACTCAGTCAGGTTTGGGTTCGAACACTTGGCCTCGTAAGCGGATCCGCAACACCGTCAATATCTCTAGGTTTTTCCACGAGGATATTAGTGGTTCTAGAATGAGTATTGACGACACTAACTATGCATGCAGTAGTAGAGTACTGAGGGGAGAGGGAGGACACCCTGATAATCTCCCCCCAGGTATGTTGTGCTCACATGTACCAAAGGTCATACACATGTATCTCTACATAATGGGTTTTATCTCATAGGACTGTAATTCTTGTAGTTAAAAATGATTTAAATTTTTCTTAAATAAAATTTGTTAGGTATGGATAATATTGAGAGAAAAAAATATGGACTAATATCCAAGTTGCAGCTCAATATTTTATCTTTTCATACATTTTTGGGATTAAAACCTTTTCCTATAGTTTTAACTCAATATTCAAACTTAACAAATGCATCAGTTTGGGACTGTCCATGTAGATATTCAATTTCAACAATTATGCAAATTAGTTTAAAATTTTCTAAATTTCACAAGAATCTGACATTGAAAACTAATTTTTCAGCTTGAAATTTTATTTTTAGGAAAGTGTAAGATTTAATTGGTAATCAACACTGACATTGACCTTTGGTACAGATTTCTATTTTGTGTTTCACACATATATTTGATGTTGTCTTTTTTTGCATGAATCCAAATGGTTCACTGGGCATGATTGTATATATAACTTGTGATTGGTGATGCATCTGTGTGATTAGCTCTACTGGTCAGAGACCAGAAGAGCTTATGCGATAGTAATGCGTCCGTCGTCCGTCCATCTGTCTGTCTGTCTGTCCGTCTGTCTGTCTGTAAACAATTTTTCAAAATGCTACTCCTCCTACAGTTTTGGTCTGATTTCAGTATAACTTGGCACACAAGTAGACTTCACTAAGATACATAATTCTGTGTATCGATTTTTGATTTCGATGAACGGTGTTGCCGTGGTTACTAAAAATAGAAATTTCTGTGAAATTCTTTCAAAATGCTACTCCTCCTACTGTTTTAGTCTGATTTCAATATAACTTGGCACACAAGTAGACTACACTAAGATACACAATTCTGTGTATCGGTTTTTGATTTCGATGAACGATGTTGCCGTGGTTACTAAAAATAGAAATTTCTGTGAAATTCTTTCAAAATGCTACTCCTCCTACAGTTTTGGTCTGATTTCAGTATAACTTGGCACACAAGTAGACTACACTAAGATACATAATTCTGTATATCGTTTTTTGATTTCAATGAACGGTGTTGCCGTGGTTACTAAAAATAGAAATTTCTGTTAAGGACGCTCTAAACACTGCACACTAAAGAGCTCTATTTATTGGGTACCGTAGTTTTTTTGCAGTTAGAGTGATCTGCCCTTAGATGTAAGATTAAAGAAATTGTTATTTACCGTTAATTACATAATTTATAGTAGATTAAAATATTTTTAGCATTATATTAGACCAAGAGTAAGAAATTTAATAAATTATTTTCAATAATTTTACTAAAGTAAGTAATCAGCAGTGATTTCTGCTTACAAATAGTGCATTGTCTTAGAACATTTTTCCTGCGTAAATAAGGCACGTACCCTATGTTCTAAATGAATGAAAAAGTCTCAATATGCATATCTTTATATGATATATTTTTCTCTGAGTCCAAAAAACAGTTTCTGTTAGTGTTTAGAGCGTCCTTAAATTCTTTCAAAATGCTACTCCTTCTACAGTTTTAGTCATTTCAATATAACTTGGCACACAAGTAGACTACAATAAGATACATAATTCTGTATATCGGTTTTTGATTTCGATGAACGTTGTTGCCGTGGTTACTAAAAATAGAAATTTCTGTGAAATTCTTTCAAAATTCTACTCCAAATACAATTTTAGTCTGATTATAATATAAATGTGGCATGCAAGTAGACTGCACTAAGAACATAAAGAGACTTAATCAAGGATCATTATTCTATTTATTGCTGTTGAAAAGTTTCAATTTCCAACTGCTTAAGTACTTTTCTCTTCCTTTGCTATAAGTACAAACCAGTAGAGCTTCAGTCTCGACAGAGACTTCTGGTTTTTGTAGTATCTTTTGATGTGTGTTTTATATGATCAGTCACTTTACCACTTTGATTATAGACACCTATTTGCATGACTCATGCTTCCCTTGGGTTTCTTTGTTTTATATCAGTTAAGAACTTTACTTACGCAAGAAACACCCTCTATTGATTCCTTTTACTTTGAAGTCTTAGTTGGTACCTGTCTTTATACTTTTTTCATATATTTTTTTAGAAAATCAAAACCGTTTTCACATAATTTGCACTTTAACTTTCAAACACACTACACATGTCTGCAGTTTTTAGGGCTGTATCAATATATCGATATATCGATACGTATCGATATTCAAGAAAAATATCGTATCGAAAAATAACTTTCAATACGTATCGGACAAACAGTACCAGTTTTTCTTCTAATTCTGTTAAAAAGATGGGAATGTTAATCACCAAAGATTATATTTCACTTTTTGAAATAAATCTGTTCAATAATTACATAATTTGTAAGGAAATAACACAGTTTTTATAATTTTTACAAATTTCCAAGTGAATTTTATTTGAACATGTTGATTTTACAGTCATTAAATGTTTTAATTTAAAGTGTTATTTTGTAATGACAATGAGACAAGAACTTTAAAATGGGTAATAAAACACTTAATTGTTATGAAAATTATGCATTAAAATGATTTATAAGCCTTTTCTGATGGACTTGTTGTACAATCCAATATATCGCATATCGCTTTAAAAAATATTGTATCGTATCGAAATTTTTGGCTCAATACACAGCCCTAGCAGTTTTAATTATCAAAAATCTCAAAAATTTATCATATACCATAAAAAAATGTTCCCTATTCTGGAGTCAGTCTGTGAAATATTGCTTGTACATTTTAAAATATACTTTCCAAATAAGAGTTAAAATGCATGAAAAAAGGAAGGGAAATTATCTCATGTATTTCTATAGCCATAAAAAAAAACTAAGCACTTGTATCAATGTGCCTGGTACATATATAATGTAGTATTTTCTTTTTAAGTGGATAAAATGGCATAAAGCCTTCTTGAAGCTTTTGTGATTCATTGAGTTTTCAATGAACATGATGAAGTATAGTTTACAATTAGTACAACATAATGTCCTGATTTTACACTTACTATTCATTATAAAGTAACAAAAGTCTTGGCTAAACTGAATTCTGAGTGTTGAGAGTCAGGGATATATACTTATTACGAATTATTATACTCCTGGTAAACTGTGTTGATAATCTTCAGACATATCTACTGTGTATAATGAAGCTAAAGTGCCGTGGTGGTTAATTTGAGAGATTTAACATCCAAACACAATACATTTCAAGAGATTAACCCTGAAGTCTCGAGTTTAGCAGAACACTAGACTGCCCCTTATATACATTGTATATGGAGATCGATATAATCTCTGATAGGAGTAGAAGAGTTTAATTGTTCTTGACCAAGAGCATTTAGACTGGTGGATTAAAAATCCTGAAGGTTTTGACTCGAGGGGTGTTGATAGTAGTTTGTGATAGTAACTGGAAGGTATTACTTGTGTCTCTGTGTTTTTAATGGAATGGTGTGTTTGACTTTTTGACAGAATTAGAAACGGTCAAGAAGGGTACACCCCTATATGGACAGCCAGACTGGTGGGGAGAGGAAGAGGTCAAAGGCAATGTCAGAGGTGAGGGGTTCATTATTTCACAATTATTAAGATACAATGCTGCACCAATGCAAGTTATCGAGTTGGTGTGGTGTATTGGCAAGTAATCTGTTCAACAAGCAGAATTCGGAGAATGTTATCTGCAAGAATGTATTTACCGGTACAGTTTGAAGAACATTCTATTGGAAGATGCTAATTGTTTATTAAGTTTTTGAAGAATGTATTTTATTCCTGAAATGTTTTTTGGAGAAAAGGCAACACATGTAACCACCTGTTTTTTAGCTCACCTGAGCCGAAGGCTCAAGTGAGCTTTTCTGATCACATTTTGTCCGTCGTCCGTCCGTCTGTCCGTCCGTCTGTCCGTCTGTCTGTCTGTCCGTCTGTAAACTTTTCACATTTTCGACTTCTTCTCAAGAACCACTGGGCCAATTTTGACCAAACTTGGTACAAAGCATCCTTGGGTAGGGGAATTTAAATTGTTAAAATGAAGGGACATATCCCCTTGCAAGGGGAGATAATCAAGAAAAGACAAAAATAGGGTTGGGTCATTAAAAAATCTTCTTCTCAAGAACCACTGGGCCAGTAAAGCTGAACTTATGTGGAAGCATCCTGGGGTAGTGTAGATTCTAAATTGTACAAATCATGACCCCCGGGAGAAGGGCGGGGCCACAATGGGGAATCAAAGTTTTACATAGAAATATATAGGAAAAATCTTTGAAAATCTTCTTCTCAAGAACCACTGGGCCAGAAAAGCTGAAACTTATGTGGAAGCACCCTGGGGTAGTGTAGATACTAAATTGTTCAAATCATGACCCCTGGGGGAAGGGCGGGGCCACAATGGGGTATCAAAGGTTTACATAGAAATATATAGGAAAAATCTTTGAAAATCTTCTTCTCAAGAACCACTGGGCCAGAAAAGCTGAAACTTATGTGGAAGCATCCTGGTATAATGTAGATTCTAAATTGTTCAAATCATGACCCCGGGGAAGGGCGGGGCCACAATGGGGAATCAAAGTTTTATATAGAAATATATAGGAAAAATCTTTGAAAATCTTCTTCTCAAGAACCACTGGGCCAGAAAAGCTGAAACTTATGTGGAAGCATCTTGGTATAATGTAGATTCTAAATTGTTCACATCATGACCCCCGGGGGAAGGGCGGGGGGCCACAATGGGGAATCAAAGTTTTACATAGAAATATATATTGGAAAAATCTTTGAAAATCTTCTTCTCAAGAACCACTGGGCCAGAAAAGCTGAAACTTATGTGGAAGCACCCTGGGGTAGTGTAAATTCTAAATTGTACAAATCATGACCCCCGGGGGAAGGGCGGGGCCACAATGGGGTATCAAAGTTTTACATAGAAATATATAGGAAAAATCTTTGAAAATCTTCTTCTCAAGAACCACTGGGTCAGAAAAGCTGAAACTTATGTGGAAGCATCCTGGTATAATGTAGATTCTAAATTGTTCAAATCATGACCACTGGGAGAAGGGCGGGGCCACAAAGGGGAATCAAAGTTTTATATAGAAATATATAGGAAAAATCTTTGAAAATCTTCTTCTCAAGAACCACTGGGCCAGAAAAGCTGAAACTTATGTGGAAGCATCTTGGTATAATGTAGATTCTAAATTGTTCACATCATGACCCCCGGGAGAAGGGCGGGGCCACAATGGGGAATCAAAGTTTTACATAGAAATATATATTGGAAAAATCGTTGAAAATCTTCTTCTCAAGAACCACTGGGCCAGAAAAGCTGAAACTTATGTGGAAGCATCCTGGTATAATGTAGCTTCTAAATTGTTAAAATAATTACCCCTGGGGGAAGGGTGGGGCTACAATGGGGAATCAAAGTTTTTTATAGAAATATATAGGAAAAATCTTTGAAAATCTTCTTCTCAAGAACCACTGGGCCAGTAAAGCTGAAACTTATGTGGAAGCACCCTGGGGTAGTGTAGATTCTAAATTGTTCAAATCATGACCCCCGGGGGAAGGGCGGGGCCACAATGGGGTATCAAAGTTTTACATAGAAATATATAGGAAAAATCTTTGAAAATCTTCTTCTTAAGAACCACTGGGCCAGAAAAGCTGAAACTTATGTGGAAGCATCTTGGTATAATGTAGATTCTAAATTGTTCAAATAATGACCCCCGGGCGAAGGGCGGGGCCACAATTTGGAATCAAAGTTTTATATAGAAATATATAGGAAAAATCTTTGAAAATCTTCTTCTCAAGAACCACTGGGCCAGAAAAAGTGAAGCTTATATATATAGAAGCATTCTAGGGTAGTGTAAATTCTAAATTATAGGAATCATGACCCCCGGGGGAAGGGCGGTGCCATTATAGGGAATCAAAGTTTTACATAGAAATATATAGGAAAAACCTTTGAAAATCTTCTTCTCAGGAACCACTGGGCCAAAAAAGCTGAAACATATGTGCCCATGGAAGGATCATGGGTTAGTGTAGATTTCAAAATGTCTAAATTATGATCAGTGGGGTAGGGTGGGGATGCATTATGTATAACAAGGGGGAAATCTGGTAAAGAACAGAATGGTCAAAGCTTCTCAGGTGAGCGATGTGGCCCATGGGCCTCTTGTTTGTACGACTTTGTAACAAAATGGTACAGCATGTGTTTATATTGTCTGTGAAGTGGCAAATAGAATTTTTTAAAAACCTAAACACTCTGGCACTATGCCATTGTGATCTAAATTTCCTCATTTCACTTTCAGGAGGAATATCCCCTGTCAAAATCACTGATGTTGTAATTTATCTTCCATATGTGCTCTAGATATGAACCAGACAAGGGGGAAAATTGTAGAGTTCTAGTTTACTATTTTTTTGTTCACCCAGATTTCTGTCTTGACACTTGATGTTAATCATTTGAAACCTTCAACATTTATATGATATTGAGGTTATGTAATGCACATATTGTATGTATTCCTTTGATGTGGGATGTTCTACATATAAAGTACATCAGTTATGCTACTTGGTCCTTGAAGTAGGTCAGCATGCAGTTATTTTTTCATCAGTTTACATTATGCCTTTACATTATACATTTATGTAATTAAAAAATCCCTTTGATGAATGGTTTCTAAACAGTTTTAAACTGTTTTCAAGAGACCAGGTTCTGTTCTATTACCGGGTATATAGAAATTATAAAGTACATGTATTGTGTTTTTTATTGCTCTGTTTTATAATTTGATTGTCTAATAAGTGACTTTTCAAAATCTAGATTACATAATTTTAGGATGCATAAAATATTCAATTACTCTTAAAATGAATTGTGAAGTACTAATAAAAATCATAATGATTTTAGGATAAATATAAGTGAATCAAGTAGAGCTTGTTTTCCTGTAATAATAATTATGTCGTTTAATTAACAGAGGAGAGTGCTAAACCTCCCAGTGACTTACCACTAAACCAAACAACTTCCCCAGACACCAAGACCACCCCCACAGCAGACCTCAATAGTATGTCTTCCAACTCCTCCGTCTCCAAAGACAGCCTCCTGAACACATCCTCTCCTGACAAATCCACATCAGAGGGGGTCCAGCCCCCACCCACCAAGATGCCAGAAGGGGGTGCTTCCACGGCCTTCACTGTGGACTTTGGGGAAGATGAGTCCCCCAAGAGGACTATGTCAGGAAAGTCCCTCAGTGAGTTCATGCCCTCCAAGATCCGGAAGAGCTTCAGGGACAGAAAAGACAAGGCACTGGGAGCCAAGGCCAGTAAAGAATCCTCATCTAAGGCCTCATCACCAGGCAGTGAAAAGGTTACTTGTGTTGTGTCTTTTATTTGCATTTTGGAAATGATGAAGTACTTTCTCTCTCTGAATATATTTGCACATATTAATCCAAGCCTCTACATTTAACTCTGAAATGCAAATAGGGTTCATTTTATGTATATACTATAGCATATAGATTAATTTGGTGAAGTGTTCATTTGAAAAGCTTCGTGAGACACAGAATGAACCCTAGGTCCTCTCAAAGAGGATGTGCATCTTGTCAATTAAAGATGTTGAAAAGTTTGAATGTTGATGTGTGTACCTTACAGGATGTTGACTTAATGTCACCTGGACAGCAGAAAAAGATTGAGGACATTTGGACTTCTCCACAGAGAAAGACAAGGGAGTTAAAGAGATCAGCCAAATCTACGGAGCAGGAACAACCTAAGCAAGAGAGCACTCCCAAAAGTAAGAGAACTGATGTACAATTTAACATATTCATTAGAAAAATAATTAAAATCTTTTGACTTTTTCAAAGCATTGTTTGCAATTTTTCAAATATGGAAAATTTTGTACATCTTATGCTAATGAATTAAGTGATTTTTATAGAGCCTGCACAGAAAACTGGCTTACACAGAAGAAGTTTGTCCACAGGCCGTCCAGTGCCAGCCAAGCTGTCCAGACCAAAAGAGAATGGTGAAGCTCCTGCTACAAAGTCACCCAAACAACCAAAGGGAAAGGAATTGGACACCACAGACAGTGCTTCATTTCTGATAGATAAAATGTTTGCCGGTGATTCCAAGACCCCAGCAAAAGGCAGACGTACTCCCAAGTCCTTAAAAACTGACAGGTCCTCAGATCGCTTCAGTGAGCATTCCATGTACTCAGAATCAAAATCTTTTGATTCCTCAGTGGCTAAATCTCAGAGTGCAAAAGTGGGTCGTAAACCGGTCATCATGAGAAAAGATTCCAACAAAGCCATTCCTGTGTCTAAAAAGTCTCCAGAGAAAAAACCGGAAGTGTTACCGGTGGCTCCCCCAGATAATACTGACAATGTGAGTGAGACAGGGACTTATACAATAGAGGGGGACAAGCCTTCAGAGGAAGAGGACAAGGCTCGGCAGAAAATAGACACTGTATTTGGAATTAACGATACTAAACCCAACGTCTCAAAATCTGCGGAATTCAGTGAATTGTCCACGGACAGAAAACCTTCGTCTGAGGACCTGATTCTGGAGAACCTGGAGGATGAGGAGGACCTGAGGGGCCTGGAGAAGAAGAGGAGTCGAGGTCCTGAGGCCAGCAGTGTGGAGGTGGAGGTGGGGAGTTCTGTTGTCACAGACCTACTGATCACAGAGGATCAGGTGAGAGAGATCAAACACTGAAAGATAGAATATATTTATATACAGGGAAACTGGGCTTATCTTGATATTCTGTATTATGAAATCTTGCCTAAAATGAGGGGAAGTCAGACAAATACTGAAAGATAGAATGTATGTATACAGGGAAACTGGGCTTATCTGGATGTTCTGTATTCTGAAGTCTTGCCTAAGTTGGTGTAAATTTTAAGTCCATTTCATTTCATTTAATGTATTGAAATCTGGTATAATGTGGAGGTTTGTCTTATTCAGTCAGTTTCTATGGATCTGAATAAATGGTGTCCAGATTAGAGAATCTTTCTTGTACTATGTTGATTTATTTTGAAGAGGGATGCTTTAGTGAAGCTTCAAGTCTATTGGGGAAAGCATTTTGTCCATATTGTGATAATTCTTTGCAGAGGTTAATCTCATTAAGGGTTAAGCTTCATTTAAATTGAGCTCAGATTTTTTTCTGAAAGTTTAATTTGATTCCTGTTAAAATAGTCACTGTACAGTCCTATTTTGGGTCTACAGTATTTAATTAAACCAGAAGAAAATGCTTACATACACAGAATTTCAAAATGACAGTAATGTTCAGGTTAATAATATGTTGACCAGTTTATCATAATGGTACATTTTAATACCATGTGTGATGGATTTATAATGTATTCCATTGGTTTTGTGCTCTGGGGTTCATTGCTTTTGAAAATTGCAGCATACTATGAATTCATAACTCATTTTACTTTATGAAAAACTGCTGATCATACAAATATATATGAGCAATAAAATTTCACAATTGTTTTGCAAATATGATTTATTTTCACCTTGTAACTAAGCTGTTTATACAGGTCAACAATATTTTTTATGCTTTGGTCATACATAAATGGGATGTAAACAATGTCAGCTGGTCTGATTGTACATGATGAATGATATTGTAACATAGTCCTGTATTAGTCCATATAGCTCTCAGTTTTGTGTATTGCATTTGATTATGTGTCCAAAACATCCATGCTAAATTTCTTGTTCGTGACATGTTTATTACAGAACAGGAGAAATGTACAAGGCTATAATTAGGCATTGATTATGCCCCCTGTCTACATGGTCTATAGGTATATAGTGGAAAATATTAAGATTAGAGAGGCGTGTCTAAACAGGTTTTTCTTGGCCATTGACTATTTACATTGCCTGATTAAATGTAATTGCTTGGTTTTGTGGATATTCATGGCATATATACAATTCTCTGTACACATTCCCCTTTCACTAGTCTAACGATTAGTGCATGGCTACATTGATTAGGCAGTGAGAGCTGGTTCTCTTTTTCCCTTTGGGCCCCAAGAATCCAGGGGCACAGACAGGGTTTTTGGGGACATGTTGATGTAATAGTTATGTATCACTGTCCATGGATGGGCCTGCTATGTTACACAGCTGATGAATGTTGAAAAGGTGTGAAAAGGAAATCAACATTTAATGACTGGCGTAGTCGTTAAGTGAAAAGGAAATTAATTAAACTCTTGTTTCCGAGCTTCTGTAATTTGTGCAATCTAGATGAAATTCGGTGAGGATATAAATATTTTTCTTCAGGTAAGAAATTATTAAAATTAATGTAACTGTATGGCCTTATGGATATAAAGAAAAATTAACCTTTTTCTACGTTTACTTATAAACATGTTATATAGCTAAATTACAGTGCTGTACAATTATATACTCTTGATATATTATATTCTTGATGTATATAGACATGTACACAGTACATTTTTTTTTCAAATATACTTGGGTATATAATTAGGGTTTGTTCCTGTTTTGCACACATTTGAATATTTCATGCATAGAAAAAATGTGTGCAAAATCTACTCCATTAATTTGAGAAAAAAAGAAGGCTTAAAGGATTAAAATAATGAATAACATACTTTTGAGGCTGTGTATTTATTTTAAAAAAATTCAAATGAATGTAATCAGCTTATGATTTAATAAGCAATCATTAATGATGCATTTTTGCATTGTTCATGTTTTGAAGGTCAATCAGGGTTATTATTTTCTCCATTTAATGATTTTTTTACATTGTATTTTGTAATAAATGTTTAGGCCACCATATTAGCAAGCATGGCAAGAGTTACACTTCAAGCTGATTTTCACTTAAGGGCACACTCGCACATATACTTATTTGTCATGGCTAATAATCACGCATGATTAGATTGATGAATATTGATTGCACATTCTGCCATCACTTGAATTCTTGCTGATTTATGAGGTCATGTACTCAAAAAAAATGTAATTTAATTATTTACTAGAACTTGTATTTTTAAATTAGATCAGTATGTGCCCAAAACAATTTTAATGTGTTTAAAGTCTTGAAAGAATATTGGGACAATTTTTGTTGACTTTCTAATAGATTTTTTTAAGTTTGAAGCATGTAGAAAGAGCACATATTTAAATCCTGTAATTTTCTACAGTCTTTACATTTCTGGTCATTTAAAGCAAGGTTCAATATTTATGTTGGCTATTTATTTACATGAGAAGAGGTCTGAATGTTTGATTTTCTACTGTTTAATCAAGAAGTATTTTTTACCTGGTAACACAAAACAGTGTTTTGTAAACAATGACTACCTTGATCATAGTTTCCTGTATTGCAGTTAGACAGATTTAATGACAGTTTAGTTGATTTAAATGTCACCCCCACATTTGCACATTTTTTCTAGTAATACAAGACATATACTAGATCTGACGAAAAAAAAATTAAAAAGCCATGCTTGGTTGACTTCAGGAAATTGTAATACTGGTTCGGCTCCAAACATTCGTGAGGGAAGTGTTACGATCAGCGAACATTTCACGATCTCTCTCTCGCGAGCTTTATGAACTTTCTGTTCATGTACTGTGAACTGTTAAGGGCTGGTACTAAATGGACTGTCAGTCTTGAGAGGGAATGTGGAAATAACTGGGAGATAGAGATCTGAATCTGATTATAGAGGAACACCAGCACATGTCTGTGTGTGTATTTGTTTACGGTTTGGATCTTTGACTACAAGGCATACTGAGCTCTCTCGTACTGGGATATATAGTGTTATATCATGGCTAGTGATCTGTGGTCGAATTTTCCTATTCACACCATTCAGGTTAGTTGATAAGTGAGTTTTCTTATTTAAAAAAAAAAATCACTTTTTGAAGCAGGTAAAAAAAAATATTCTAGATTTAGATTTAGGTACATTTGACTATTTCTGCCTTTGTGGAATTTTTATTGGGGGGGGGGGGGGGGAGGAGAGAGATAACCTTAACATGTAATGTGTATTTGATTATAAAAGGAATGCTAATAGATGAAAAGAATATGTTGGTCACTGTCCAATCACATTGATGTTAAACAGACAAAAAATACTTGGCATTCATTCTTTTTCCATTGAAATAAACATGCCATATCTGCTTGGGGGAAAAAAAAGTTGACCTTATGTTCTAATCGGGGCTTACCACTTAACATCTTGGTTTATTTGGCACACTCAGGTCTCGTAAAAACCCTATTGGGCAAGATTGTTTGTGAAGTTTTTTTTCCTCTCACAGCTGTAACCTAAAGGTACCATATTGTACTTGGCATTCCACTGGCCATACCAGATTTTGATTACCAGCTATTTGATACAAGTGAAATATTTCTGTGTATCACGTTTTATAGTCAGGGCCATATATCACCAACTATATATCTGACTAGAGGTGAAAATTGGCAGTTTATATTGTCAGGTAAATTGTGGAGAATATATTGGTGTTTGTAAAATATGTTAATAATCCAAATTTTTTGAAGGCACATTTTTTGTTCTTATGTATATAAGTGCCTCACTAAAAAAAATTCTGTTGTTAAAGACTTACTAGCAAGAAAAAGAAAGTGGTAATATGAGTGATCACTTGTGTCGACAGAAACAAAGTGGTTTTGTTTGCCTGTTATTGAAAGTTATATTGATGCATATTGCTAACACAAAATCTGCATGAAGTTGAAAGACTTCTGAAATCTATAGACATAGGTATCTATTAGATCTTAGTGGGAGAAATTCTGTATTGTCAGCTGATTTGAAATAAAATGTTTGATCCTTGTGGTCAGAGAAAACCTTTAATGGGCATGTTTACCTATTTAATGGCATGTTCACGTCATAATGAGAAATTCTCTCCCCTCATTTAACAAGAAACATGTCCCCCTACTTCCTAAAAACGTGAATTAAATGACGAAATGTGGCAGAGTTTGGAATGTTAAAATGGCCGTCGCCCAAAATTTATCAAGGGGTAATCTCTAACCCTATTAAGTAATTAAAGCTAGGCTTGCATGTTGTGTTTTCTTATTAGTAAATTGGTTATTGAACAATGGCAACTTCAAAGTTTTCACAAAAGGAAAAGGTTCATTCTTTACTTTGGAAGATTTGGAAATCGTTTTTTAAATGGCAGGCTTTCAGAAAAGTCACAACCAATTCTTAATCTGATAGATATACAGAAATATAGGACTTGTCAAAAAATAGTTCAGAACATGTTTAAGCATTTTCAATTGAATAAAACCAACAATTATAGTAACCTGACACTTGTAGATTGACATGCTTATGAGGAATCTTCATGGCATTGGTATTGGATACATGTAACTCAGTGTTTTTTATGACTATATACTTTATATGTATGTTACTCACCATTAGACTATAGTTTCACAGGTTGACAGTTATGTCCAGAAAGATGCAGTAAATATGTGACCTAGCTCCTTTTTTTGACAATATATCTGGTGATTTATCCGCTTGTCTGGAGTAGTCATAAATTTTGCAGCTTTCTGGGTGTAGAAATAAAATTTTTGATCAGTTTGTGCCAGGTCTTAAATGATAAAGTTTCTCCGGAATAGAGATAAGTGTTGATCTTTTTTTTGCTGCTTTTTTGCTAAACAGTTGAATAAATACAGTGAAACCTTTTTAATCGGATATGCATAAGGAGGGAAATTTTTGGTATTACATTGGAATAGACAGGTGGGATGTTGGATTACACAATGCAAAGAAATAGAAATGGTAGTTTAGGAATGAAAATAAATGTTGAAATTCACAGTGAAATGGATTGCACAGCTGTGACGGATTAGACAGTTTTCACTGTATTTGCAGAATCTGACAGGTTTCCATGGTGTAGTGGTTAAATTTCTAAAGCAACATTTTTTTTTTCATTTTTTAGTTCAAAAACTCATTTGTAGTGTATTTTTGATCTGCCAGAATGTTTGTTCAGAAAGCCGTAATAAAATTTCCATGTTCTGTATAAGAACTGGAGGGTATGTAAGAGTGCTGTATATAGATTCAGACAGTGTACGCTATTGTTACGAGAGCTGCATTGAATACCTTAATGAGGTATACAGGTTATTCCAAACCTGGTGTATGCTGAAGGGTATTAATTCTGAAGGATTTTTTTGTCATAATAAAGACCTGTGTACATTACATAGCAAAAAAAGTTCGCTGAGTTTAATTTTTTCTCTCTGGGCTATATACAGGTAAAATCAGATTTCGGAACCACTCTGTCTAGATTTAAGTACGTTACACCTGATAGATATTTTTCCTGACTCATTTGTGTACGTTTGTAATTATCCACTTATTTTTGGATAGGTGTATACCTATAATGGGATTATCTGATGTTTATCTGAATTTTTTTGATTTCAGGAGAACCCCAGCGATGCAGTGCCCAGCAGTGCCCCCACTTGGGTGACCCAATGGGCAGCCCTGACCAGTAAGAGTAAGACATCGGAACCAACCAGTCCCAGTAGTAGTGTCTCCGATAAAGGTAAATATTGAGTCTCTCAAGTTTATCAGACGATTTGTCTCTATTCTCCAATATCTTCCTGTTTCTTGATAAAAAAATAATCCTGTTCACCTGTATTAAACACATGTAGATTTACAATAAAAGAAGGGAAGAACACAGGGTACACTTTTTATCATTAAGACATATCAAGGTTTCCTTTTGATAAGGTTTGAAGTACTCAGGTGATGATTAAGATTTTTTATGACGTACAGGTATTTTTGTCTTTTATGATCGCCGTGGTAATGTTTTTCAGGAGTTAACAGGGATTACTCATAATGAATTCACCAAGTACTATTAACATAATCATAATGTTTGTCTGTAATGAAAAAGGATTTAATTTAGCTTTGTTGTCAAAGTGGTAAAAAAGATAATTTATATTAATTTATGTACATGAGACATTTGAAATAATGTTATACACTGAACTTGTATTAAGATACATACTGGTTCCTTTATGTGTAAGCTATCGTACACTTTATATGAGGAAATTATTTAAATGTTTATATTGATAATTTCAGATACCATGATGTCTCCAGACTCAAAAAAGCCCTCGAAAGGCTTGAGTAGGAAACGACCAGGCACGGGCAGGAGATTACCCACAATTCCTGGTAAAAGTCCGGACGGGAGTAACTGTAGTTCTCGATTAAGTCAGAGCACGGACAGTCAGAGTCCCAGGTGCCCCTCCACTCCCAGATACGGAGAAAACAACAACATCGCTGACAAGCAGAAGGCTGTCACAATATCTAGTCATGTGGTAAAACGTTCTGAGGGCACAGACACAGAATCAATATCGAGAACAAAATTTGACAGTGAATCAGAAGTGACATCTGTGACACAAACTGATGAGTTTTCAACTCCGAAAACCACCTCAAGAAGTACTGCTAGTGTTGATACCGAAGTTCTGTTGAAAGATACACAAACTGTCATGGCAGCCATGGAGGCTCGCATGGATTCAAAGTCAGGTGGTCTTCATAATGGACATGTTCAGGATGATGGTGATAATTTGTCTGACACAGAAAGCACAGCAGCACTTGTAAATGGACATGAGGGATTTTTAAAATCTAATTTATATACTAGTCCTCGGGAATCTCTGGCAAAGACCAGGGGTTTTCAGCAACATAAACCCGTGTCTCGAAATAGCTCGGCCAGTGAGAGACTTCAAGCATTCCGAGATAGGAACTACAAAAATGTTACACCTCCTGAAAACTCAGTAGTTTCAGATGTTTTAAGTGAAAATTGTGATCTCAACCAATCTATTGACAGAACCAGTGAGTGCAGTGATACTGGGGTTAGTTTTAATCGATCAGGGTCAAAGGGCAAGGGTACAATAAGTATGACAAGACCCAACAGGGCTTTCCAGTTGAGGAGAGCAAGGGCAGACGGAGAAGTCCCTGATACTCCTAGTTCAGGGGTCTCAGAGGCTGTGTCACTGACTAATGTGTCTTCTGCAAGTTCTTCACGTTCTGTAAAAAGTTCCACCCCCACGCGATCCATGAAGGCTGCCAACAGACTCAGTTACCCCTACACTAAACAAGACTCTGCGAGGAGCAAAGAGAGTTTAGGGGCTGCTATTGTACAGAGGAGCAGAGAGGGTGGTCCTCAGTCATCCTCGAGGAGTAATGCCAGTCTGGGTGCTAAAATTGCTCAAAAAGCATCCAGCAATCAATCTTCAGGAAGCTTGTCTAATGTTTTTAACAGAAGTGATGGTGGACGTTACAGTCTCAAGTTGAACAGATCGTTGAGTTCACAGGACTCTATAAACATAGAGAGTAGCAATACTCCTTCACGCAAACCTGATTTTAAGTCTGTAAAATCAAAGTTAAAAACCACCCCCACCTATGGTCTTTCAGTCACTGGTATTAATAGTAACAGAAGTAGTGTTACGTCTGCCTCAAGTCGATCCAATTCCCCCAGATCTGCTGAGAAGGCAGCTTGGAAGAGGAGGAAGGAGTATGACCCCAGAAAGGCAGTGGCAGAGGCCAAGGCCAAAGCTAAGGATGTCAAGGTCAAGATGGATAACCAGGGTAAACCCAAAATGATCAGGTCAGCCTCCTTCACCAACACAGCTGAGCTGCAGAAGTACAGGAGGCAAGCTCTTCAGAAGAAGGACTCGGTGTCGAGTCCAGATGAGTTGAGTTGTGCCAGTGAAGGAACAGGCTCAATGACAGACAATGTGTATCAAAGAAGCTTCATCCCCTACTCAGGAAGGTCACAGTCCAGTCGAATCTTAAGTACAGAGGAGGAGGAGAGTAGCATGATTGTCAAGTCAACTCAGGTATATTTACATGTTCTTATTTTTCCTGTATACAAATATTTAAATATAGTGAGTCATAGGTTACCCTTCTTGATAAATTCAACTTCATTTATGAGTCATTTTATGAAGAGATATTGTTGTGAACATTACCCCCATTGTTTTAGATGTTGTGGTTTTAAATGTAGCAGTATATACCTTACTTAAAGTGGTATGGTACATGTATAAACTAAACATTAACAATTCATGATATAGCTTGTTTGTTGGGGCTCATTATTTAATTTTGGAAAAAGGTTTTAGGTTTTTTGAAAAAATCCTTTTGCTTTATGCCTATCAGCCATCTAAATACTGTCATTATGTTTTTAGGACCTAAGCAGCGGACGCTATAAATCGGCATTCACCCCACCGCCCCAGAACTCTGTCCCCTCTCCCCCTTTAATGCCCTTGTCTGTATTTAAAAAGCGAAACTCCTTTGAGAGTTACGAGACTCGACATGGAGTCACCAGACACAAAGCTCAGCTCGAGCCTCCAGTGCAGCAGGTTTGTCCCGCAGAATTGCCCCCTGAGTATACTCAACACTACCAGCTTGTTTGAATTTTGTCTGTTTATAAAGGACTCTTTATTTTCAAGCTTATTTTCCTCTTTTTGTTTTGAATTTCATTGGTGTTGAGGGAGTTTGAGCATGTATTTGGAAGGTGTTTTTCTTAAAAAAAACTAATGATAAAATTTTCCTTATTTTAATTATAAAAGAAAAAATTTGAATTTCAAATTTTACAAAAAAAAGTTATAAGCTCATCAACCTGGCATCAGTAGTTGAGCCAACAGTAGGTTAGGCATTAATTACCTTAAAAATCATCATTTCAATTAATCTACTCCTATAACCAATTAATACTGTAGATTTCATTTTGAGTTTTAATAGAATGGCAGCTAACACAAGTTTCCACAGAATCTCCAGTATTTGAATCGTGACCTAGTGCTTTTGATTTTCTCTCGCTAATCTAATACAGGTGCAAAGTGGGGCTACTTAGGCCCACTGTAGACCATGTATATATTATACACACCAGTACCCATCCATAACTACTCCTGCATCTGTCAAATATTTGTCAGTCAGTTTCATAACATATTACTTGTGTGAATGAGTGTACCATAGTCAGCATTTCTGTATATATGTGTATTTGATATTTTATATAGTGCTGAAGTTTCAATATATGTTACATGTATGCAAGATATTTATTTATTGTTTTTTATCACTCTAATTACACAATTTTTAGGAAAATGTGGGTGGAAAATTGACTTGAAAGCCTGATTAAATTGGACTTCATTTTCATTTAAATGATTCTGAAGTTTGGTGATACATTTTAAAGTAAAATGTATACAATGTATATACAGTGTGGAACCTTTTGAATCATCCAAATATTTATCTGTTCAGACAATGATTTTTTTTTGGGGGGGTGCACTAGTTTAATATTTCTGATGATTTACTTGTGATTTTATTTGGTTGTGTAGTTTTGTGATAAATATATATCTGAGGGAATTATATAGATTCCATTTTTATGGAATGCAGATGGGAATTTCCTTTCAAATCTTATGATATTCTTTATTATTAATGTGAACTTCATGCATTTTAACATGACTTTTTCTTTGTGACCATTTTGAAAATATGTACAAGCTAACAGTAGTTGTAGAAATTGACCATGATACTACGAATTAATGAGGTATCAGGGAATATAGAATTTTGATAATATTGGTGAGGGCAGAATCTGATTTCCTAAATTTTGAATTTCTGGTGATGGTCCCAAAAAAATATGGAAGAAAAATATACTACTATTGCAAAAGATATTTACCAACAATTGAATCTCTCTGCTACATTCATGTATATCTTTGCCATGTACATGTTTATTTCTTTCTATTTCATATTGTATATGATATTTATATATTAAAATAATATATACACATATACTGCTTTATGTAACCCATATTTTATGATTTAGAATTCTAGAAACAATCAAACATTGTAGTACAAATTAACTGCAATGGCTTCTTTATTGTCATTTCAAATTTTAAAAATTTAGGGTTTTAAAGTCTGTTAAGATTTCTTGAAAAAGTATTTGGTTTGGGCATTAGTTTTCATTTTAATTTTTTTAGTTAAAAAGTTATACATGATAAAAGCAGGTGCTTGACTTTTTTTGGTACTTTGTTATTATTTAAAATACTTTAAATGTTGTATATTTTTCAGTCTTATGACAACATTTTGGTGTCATCTATCTACCAGCTGTCACTCAAACTCAAAACCAACACTGAAAAAACACTGATGCAGCTCAAGTAAGTCATGGGAAAAGGTCTTAGAATGGGTTTATAAAGAATAAATACAGAACATTATATGTATTATTCTCTCATAAAGCATGCATCAAAACTGGGAAATTGACCATACAGTTAGCAATCCCCTAATCATTACTACAAAATTTTGTGGAGTCCTTATACAAGTTTCAAAATCAAATACAATAATGTGTGTATCTTCAAATGGTGACTGAACCTGTTAGTTTTGTAAATTGTTGATAAACTGTTATATGGATTTTATCTGTTATGATAGGTTGGATCAGAGAATTGAGGATACATCATCTCCCTCTCCTATTGATGATATTCTGAACCAATCATCATCCAATAGTGATATTCCTGGCTGGAAGGCAGCCAATCAGGAGCTAGCAGCCATCCTCACCAATCTGAGGAAAACCGAGCATAGAATTCACAGTAAGACCAATGCAGTAATTGACATTATAATTAGAATTTTTAGAAGGAAAATTGAGGAAAATGTGTCTGTTTTGATAAGGATTTTATTATTTGATTGCAAGAAGTAACTCGTAATTGTCAAAAAGTTGGGAGAGCAAAATTGACAATTTTTATTCAGAATTCATTTTGAGGAGGTTTGATGTAAAATACATATGCAGTTAAAGAGAGTATTCAAATTGATTCTTGGGAGATTTGTACATTGTGGCCTTCGTTGGTTTTTTAAAAACAAACTTCCTTTTTAAAGTGATGCACAAGGCCCTGTATCCAGATGACGACAGTTGCTCCGACTCACCTGGATTATCCGGACGAGAGAAGCGGGAATATCTCCAGGAAATAGAGCGGATCCGCAGCGAATTAGCTGGCTTCCAACCAATCGCAAAGCCTCAGGTCATAAAGGATGACCAGGCTTCCATAGAATCTGACTGTGAAGAACTGGGAACTGCTGACGAATTCTTTTGAGGCTTCAGGCTCTTTATATATGTCAATTTTTAATTAAAAGAGACTTCCATTGCAAATTTTTTGTCCAAACAATTTTATTCTAGTCTCAGAAACTTCTTTTTTATAACATTGCCTGGTACAATTTATCATTGAATTGTAACGTTCTCAAGTTCTTTTTGTTCTGATGTAAATGGCAAACATTTCTTAGTGATATCAGAAAATATTTTAGAGGAAATCATTCATTAAAGTATAATTGTTCTGCATATATTAATATGTAACTTTTCAATTTTGTATGGCAATTGTTACTCAAAGAAAATGGAAAAAGGAGGAAAAAGTATCTTTCACTTGAATAATCTTGGCTCATTAAGAGTACATTGGAATAAATGTTATCCAAGTTTGTTGTGACTATGATACATTTACACAAATCACACTTTTGTGAGAAGAATGTTACCCATTAAACCAGTTTTCTGACTCTGTGATACATACGGTAGTGCTTTTTGCTGGCTGTGATCATGCGTTAGTGGCATTAGATATTAAAGTAGATATTAACTTTTTACATTCATTGTTTTTCTATCCTTAAAAATTCCTGTATATGAACATTGATGTAATGAACATTTTCAGCTTTCTATGACCTTTAAATTTATTAATGAAAACTGTTAACTTTTTCTTGTCAAATTAGATAAAAAATTTAATTTTTAAAATACTACACATTCATTTTACTTGAGGAAACATACTCAGTACTCATAACGTTGCAGAAAATCTATGTGTATATATATCCCTACTGTTTGCTCTTTTTTTTCGTGTGCTGTTGTATTTAAATTTTCGTGATATTTATGGTACGTTTGCTACGATCTGTTAGGTCTCATCATAATTCAAATATCATACTGTTAGCTTTCTACAAAGGAACATAAAGAAATATAGCAAGGAGTAAAGAAGCAATTTAAAATTAAAAGAAAACCAGACTATTGTAAAAAAAAAAAAAACCAACTGTTCAAATTGATATTGTGTTTTTTTTACCCTCAATTCCATGTCATTTTCTTAAGTGTTATTTTTAAGCATACGAGGAAGCATTTTTAAGCCACGGTTGTATTGTAGCATTTATTGCCTTTTGTTAGTGACTGAGTCACATTACTTGGTTGTTTGGTTGTTCAAGAGTTTCATTCTCCGTCAAATTCCAGGGTGAATGACAATAAACTAAACAGTTAACATACTTATTATGTTAATTAAATTAGAAGTTGTGATACAATTTTGTATTCATTCTCTCACACTGCTTTGAATTGTTGAAGAAATTTAGATTTATTGAATGCATTCCATTGAGGTAATGGATGTTGGTGTGCCTGTATATTTCCATTGTTTGTTTGTTTAGTTATGCTTCAAGCATATTACGGTTGTTTAGCCAGACTGGTTTACTGAAATACACAGTCTGAATGCAATATTTTGTATTGATTCCCTTTTATTTACAAATGCCTTAGTTGCCATGAACAAATTGTTTTATATTAGATAATTTAATAAATTTATGCATTAATGTGAAATCAGTGGTTGTTATTCATGACAGCTTAAGGAAGAGATTGCAAGGGTCTGTGGGAAAAAAATTTCCCATCTTTACATACATGTATAATTTGCCTTACGTTATTGCTATCATAATATGTAAATATCGCATGACGCCTTGCAGTTGCGACCTTTATTGGAAGGACATATATCACATGGTTGTAGTATAGTAAAACACGCTTATATTAACGAATTGACGTTTATAGTGAAGTGATTCTTATTCCCTGTGTCTTAGAAATATACAAGTATTGTAACCTTATTGGCTATAAGGAATTGCGCTCATAACGAAGCATCCCTGTCACTTCATTATAAGTTTGTTTTACTGTAGATAGATTGTTTGATATTGCGAAGTGGAGTACATGTATATTTGCGATTGGATACTTGCCATGCTTATCTTTTGTAAAATAAATGACAAGTCTATGCATCTTCATGAAGGATGCAGGGATTAGTTTCTGCGTAATCTCTGTACATGATAGCTGTCAGTGTACAAACTGAATGTGTACTAGCATAAAGGGGCCCACACTTTTTTTTGTTAAGTTTGGGTCTATGTCTTGACAAATTTAGAGAACATAATCTTTGTACCAAGTGTGTGCATCCATTGATTCTCCATAACAATTATAGCCCAGACAAGACTGATACTTTTTTCTACAAGTGGCTTCGAACTTGCTGGAATGACTTTGGGTCAAGGTCATGACACAATCTCCAATTAGAAACTTCTGGATAATAAGCAGTCTCTGCTTCTTCTTTTCACTCTTCTAATCTATTGCATATTTATACTATAATAAAATCCACAGAAATCCATTGTAAATATATGTCTAGCTTGAAATCAAAACTCAACTGAAAAAGGATCTGGTAAACCATTTTGCAAGCTTGCTCCTTTTCAATACATATAAATAATATGCGGCTGCATTATGTTACTGTAGTTCATCAAGTCAAAAATTTGTGTTTTGCAAGAAATGATAGTTCCAAGCAAACCCTATGACCTTGCAGCTATGTCCTTGGCAACTGTCAAGGTTTTCTTTCATGTCTTCAGAGTTTAAAGAAAATGCAACTTAAATTCAGTTTTTGGCTATTTTTATTTCAAATGTGTTTTTTCTCTAGTAGAAATGTTTAATACAAATGTGAGAAACATCGGTCAACAGAAAAGGAGGATATCAAACAGAGTTAAACAAGCCTATGCAGCCTACAATGTTAATTGCTTTAGGAAGTCAGAATTTGGCATTTCTCTAAGAGCTTCATACATTATTGTAATTAAGATACTTTAAAGTGCCGTATCAATAAAGAGTTACAAACAAGTCATTGCACATAAATTCAAAAATTATAGATAGCTTTAATACAAAGATTTCTTAACAGTATTTAATTTAAACAATATTTTATTATGAACAAACATAACAGGATTGGACAGCAGCCACTGCCTATATAAGTCCTCTCTGTATTTATATCCGACATGTATGAATGTAAAGTCTGATTATTACTAACCCTCCATTATTTTCACAACACACCTTCTACAGCACTGCTACATAGTACAAATTCAGTAATAGTTACCATAATCGTATAATAAAATGATTATACGATGTGATTTATACAGAAGAGCATGTATAATTATTCTAAATATGACAAATCGATCTACTTTTATAGATACACAATGACATGTATAATCAATTCAAAATATACTGTACATGTACAATAAAATCTTAAAAATATTTAACATGACTTTTGCATTCCTCAATTATACTATCAAAAAAAAAAAAAGGCTGCACATTTTGCATAATTTTTAAAGTTAAATTACACTCTGCATAATAAATTCTACAAAATATATAAACAATTTATTGAAAAAATATATACATAATTGAATCGATTTAAATAAACAAACAGTAGCACTAGCTAACACAGTGGGTATTATGATGATTCTCTTGTAAAACTTAAAGCCGTGGATGTCTCACTTTGTTTTCTAGGCAATAATTACATAAAATAAAATAAATTTTATACAATTAATATTAAAGCTTTTTTGACTGTGGTGATGAACTGTACCTATAAAAGTCATTTTTTGATAGTTTGGTTATTAGTTGCTCAGTACTGGGAACAGGTCTACATGGGTTAATGTTAGCACTTTTTATTTTTACTTGTAAAGGCAAGTGTACATGACAGAATTCTTCAGCTAACAATTTTACAAATTACTTGTAAATACAACCAAAACTTATGAAATACATGGTAAAACTCCAATGGAAATCCCTTGTAATGCAAAGCAATCTTGTCATATGTCTTACTGTAAATATTTGTATGGCGAATTTTTAGGCAAATTCTGCAATTAGTAAGGTTCCAAAATTTACCATCACTTGAATCCTTTCATACTATTATACAAACCAACTTATATTTTGCAAATTCAATTCACAAGCATAACCTCCGTAATAAAATGTTGTTCAATGGAACTACAAAATTTTATCCACATATAAATATTCACTTTTACAATAATAGCAAAATGATTCAAAGAATGAAAGCAAAATCTTCATTTTAAAAGAATAAGGTCTAACTGAAGATCAGCTTCTCCAGATTTCTCACAAATCCAGCAAAAAAACTAACAGAAAAAAGTCACTGACAACTACTGTTGCATGGCACAACGCACTGCTGTTTTTCAAGAAAAATTTTTCATCAAGAAAACACACAACATGTATACAGGTATGCATACATGTACTTCTTATTCAAAAATAATATACAATCCTTTCAAGTACAAATGTAATTTCAACGTTTGCTTTTCCATCGATGCGTCACTTGATACACAATTCAACGAGTTGAGTCACGCCAAACAGTGAGTTACTGTTATATTGAGGGGTCTTTCTACATTGTCAAATTATTGTGTAGAAAACTGTAACATTGTTGCATCAGTATAAATTCTGCATATTGTAAAACTTGGAAGATCAATGGAGTACTGAGGTCTAATGGAATTCATGTAAAGCCATCCAGAGAAGCCTCTATCTATGCTGAACATCCCAAGCAGAAAACTCTCTCAAAACTTTCATCATAACTGAGAAACAGATAATTTATGTGCATAACTAGGGATCTTTTCTAAGAGATATAACTCTTTTTTTCAAATTTATTGCTATTTTAGAGGAAAAACATGTATTAATATAATAATACACTAACTGGTTGAAAGATGGGATCAGAACTTTAAATTCAAGAGAATAAAAAAATTCATCTGCAGAAAATTACAATTCAGTAAGAACTGATGGACATGAAATCAATGATAAAATATAAATGTATGATGCTGCAGTACAATTACATTACATGTTATTATGATACAGAGTTCCCGAAACTAGTCAAAAATATGTCGGACAATTGTCCTGTAAATATTCAAAATTCACCGGACAGTTGTAAAATTTACCGGACATTAATTTTTTGTATGTAAATTTAACATATTATAGGATTGGAAATTGTAACGATATAATAAATAATATGTGTAAATAAAAAGATGGCAAATGCAGATTTTTTTAAAAAAAATTATTAAAATATTTTCTATAAGGCCTGTGTATGCAGGATTTGACGTCGCCGACGGTGTGTGATGACCAACGCTTAATTCATCGTATAAAATTATTATGTCCTTTCTGACAGATTTTTTTTATTTTTTTTAAAAATAAAATCTGCAACATGACAACTCTTGGTTGATTGTTTGGAATTAGTGGGAAATATATGTTGTTTTCCAGGCTTTTTTCTTTTGGATTTTGGATTTTGGTATTTTATGTGCCAGGAAAAATATTACGTAAAATATCAAACTCGTTTTAAAAAGCCTGGAAAACGTCCGATATTTCTGACTAGTTAAAATTTATTATACAACCTCCACACAGTTAAAAATATGTACTAATGATATAAAGATATGCAAATTTATCAGGAAAATGATGATTTTAAGTGAATTTGTTGTCGTTTTACTACATTCAAGTCAGTCCGCTATTTTTAGAAAAGGGGAAAAACGCGCATGTATTTTAAATGCTATCAAATACATTAAAAAAAATCCAGAAGTTGGTATAATATTATCATGCTAATAGATTAAATTATAGAGAAAATAATAAATGGTAACAAATTGTCTGTAATCAAGCAGAAATAGCAGGCAACTCTTGCAACCCTGCAAATTCGTCCTTCAAAACGAAAGTAGATTGTCACATTTTTTTACTGTCAGAACTACAGAGTGCATATATTTATCAGAGGGAAAATATTTGTTTGACAGTGTTTTTAAAACTGTTTTTCCTCCCAGACTTATGGAAATTATTATTTTAATATGTAGCTTTTTATATTAGACAATCACCGTCTACATTTTATTTAAACAAGATCTGGCGCGCCCCTGACGTTTTTTTCATTCCTTTAGTTTTGCATTTGTTTATTGTCAGGACAATTGAATTAAATGATTTTGTTAAGATTATATGTAAACGTTATACAGTCTGTAAAAAAAAACCATCGGACATTTTGACCGATAAAATTAAGATTTTACCGGTCCCATTCAAAGTTTACCGGGGATCCCCGGTGGACCGGTGCGTTTCGGGAACTCTGATGATAAAATTACGATACTCACTTTAGGACAGAACAAAGCTGACAGAAGTTTCTCTGACAGTTACAGCACTGTAAGGACTGCTCATTACTCAGAGCTTTCTCACAGAAGTTACATCGTTCATCTGAGGGAAGCCGCCTTCTTTCTACTGGCTTTTTACCTATAAATTTACATCATAATGAACACAGAGTGAAGAAAACTATCAACTTAAATGTTCTATGAAAAATTCCTGATTAACTGAATTATCATTTGTCATTTTTCATAGAAAATGTTACTGTAAGATAATTGCTTAGATTTACAGATTTCTAAGATTTCCTATAGCTCTAGTGGTGTGTGTGAGCTTACCCTTTGAAAAATCAAATGTACCGGAACTGTTGTTTAGTCCAAATGCTGTTGGCTGGCTGGTTTCCATGTCTTCATTTTGGGCCCTATTCAATGCTGATGGAACGGTCAGTTGACCCTCATGGTCTATAACCAGCTGACCAGGAACCTGGGATGTGGCATCCATTGTATTGTAGTTGGTGATAAATGGCAGATTACAATTGGCATCAGCGGTCACTGTGTCAGAATGGTACAATGTCTGAACCCCATTGAAAAGCATATTTTTTGTCCTCTCTGGAAAAAGTGAAAAACTAAAATTTAATAGAAATACAATTCAAATAGAGTAATTTTAACCAACTTACGAGATATCGCGAGACTTGCAAGAGTTGTCTATCCCGTTAGTATATAGGTCCCTGTATACACATATGATTATGAATAGGAGTTAATGAAGTTTTGTGATATGTCCATAGTTGTAGTGAATGTGTTTGTTAACGTCTTTAGGAATTTGTATGATAGTTATTTTAACTCATCCCCACAATGTTGGGGGTCCTATGCCAACTCATTACTGTGGGATCCCTGACAAACTGAATTTTAGGGGGGGGGGGAGGAGGAGGGGGCTTACATCTTTCATTGAGAAGCACCAATCAAACTGGAGTAGAATTTAGTAGACAGGTAATCATAATATAAACAGAAAAGAGTCAGTTGACACCTCAAATACACATTGTTAGTTGTTTGCACCAAATTTCCGAAAGGCTCAACTTTATTGATTGAGAGTCTCTAAAAGAAGAAAACCTGTCAAGATTTGAATTTTTTCCCAGTACGTGACTGAAGTCAACCCTTCAAATCTCACTGTCATGGGTCCCAATAATTAAGGGCCTCTGGAATTAAAATTCCATGTAGCATAACTATTGTTACGTTTCACGAAGTGTACCTGTGAAATTCGGGTTAACTCTTGTTTACAAGTTTGGAATATATGGAACTTGAACCCGATGTTTATAAACTCCGTAAATATTTGTCAATGAACAGTTAACGAAAGAAATGAACAATAATTGATTTAATGACTTTATTAATTTAACATGTATGATTTAATGACAAAGTGGTGTATTTTGTATGTTTTAAATGGGTACAACGTTATTAATTTAGTAGGTAATTTTGTTGGTCAAAACCCGCTAACTTACTGATTGCATTGATTGTGACGTAATAGGTTTCTGATTGTCTCTTACGTCATCATAACAACTTTTGTCTATATAAACCAGCTGTTTTGGGTTCTGACTTCAGTCGGCTGTGGGGAGCGACTCAGCACACAGCCTTCCCTGGTAAGGGAAAAGTGACGTAAGTCACTTTGGGTAACGACTCCGTATACTTCGGTTATAAGACGGTACCAAGTCTATGTATACGAAACCATTAAGGGGACCAAGTTAGTAGGAACGTCCTGTATTGACCATCGGTTGGTCACCTTTTTGTTAACCAAATAACGTTGTACCAACCAAGTTACAGTGTACCATTTTGTGTGTTTATAAGTGAACCATTTGATCGTCTTAATAAATGTTATCAACTTTTAACAAGTGTTATTCCTAACAAACATTGTTTAAAGTGACCAAAATTTGGTCATTACGTCAACCTATTAAGTGACCAAAAGTTGGTCATTACGTCAACCAAATAAGTGACCAAAAGTTGGTCATTACGTCAACCAAAGAAGTGACCAAAAGTTGGTCATTCTGTTAACCAATTAAGTGACCAAAAATTGGTTATTAACCATTATATAAACTGTGACCAACGTTACCATCAAATCTCGACCAGTGACCAGAAAAACCAATAGCGGCCCACGAGTTTATTACACGATACCCTCGGTTTCGTTACATTGGTGGCAGTGGTGGGATCCGCTATTCCGTGAATTGTGAACCTAAACCATTACAAAGATGTCAAGGAACGAAAAATTGGTGGAGGAAAGTGACCATAATACAGAACCAAAAGAACCACAGTTTATCGACGGTACTCCAAGCAAAGAAGTTCTTTTGCGGGTTAATAACAACGACCAGATAGGAGACGGCAGCGCAGTCAACACATGTACCAACGACAGTCTACACATAATTCTACAAGAATTAAAAACTTTGAAGTCCCAAATGAACCAATTACAATCTCAAGTGAGACCAACGAGTGCTAACAACCAATATGTAGACCAAAATTGTGTGCAATCCGGTACCAATACTACGTCTAAAGATGACCAAATACACAGTGAACATCGCCCATATAGAAATACGTACCTAAAAAATTCATGTGACGAATTTTGTGATTATGAACATTCAAGGACAAGTTGGTCAAACCCAACAGTATCACGCAGTTATACTACCAATGCTAGGACCAACGAATTTCGGCCGACTATGTACAGATTAGATTACGATGTACCAAATCATGGTCATACAAGACAAGTTTATGACCAAGGATTCAGGCGTGCCCCGGAACCTAAAGGGAGAAAACCAGCAACATTCGATGGTACCATGAACTGGAACGACTATATAGTGCATTTCGACATAATCGCCCAATTGAACCACTGGAATGAGGAAACAAAGGCATTAGAGTTGGCTACCAGTCTACGCGGCCCGGCATTAAGCGTTTTGAGTGACCTACAACCAGAATCTCGGTATAATTTTCGTCACCTTGTTACCGCACTAGCAGCAAGATTTGACCCAGAAAACCAAACAGAAATTTATAAGACGCATTTAAAGAGCAGAATACGGAAGAAAAACGAAACGATCACAGAGTTAATGCAAGACATAAAGCGACTTACGAGGATGTCATACCCGAACGCACCCCTAGGTTTCCGTGACCAGATAACGAAAGATTCTTTCATCGGAAGTTTAAATGACCAAGAAATGGAATGGGCAGTGTTTCAAGGAAAACCGACAGACCTAGAAGATGCAGTGCGACTGGCATTGGAATATGAGGCCTTTCAACAAGCACGGGGGAGACGAAATAAAGTTGCAGTGCGTATGCAGACAGAGGAGCCAGCATATACCGAGAGAAATTATTACGAAACAGACCAAGTAGCTATGATCAGCCAAAACACAGATAAGAAGAAGAAAGGTCCCTGTTTCTACTGCAAGAAAGATGGTCACATCAAAAGAGAATGCAGGTTACTACAACGGCACCTAAAAAATGAAAAATACAGAAACCAAAGGAAACCGGAATACCTAAAAGACGTGACGGTCAGAGAACCCGAGAACCAGGGAAACGCACAGTAGTTGACGTCGGTGGCCGAACGTCAACTACAAAACAGAAAAGGCCACATGTTTTTGGAATAAAGAACTCAAATACTCGCAGTACCAACTTATTAACAATTGATGTGCTTGTTAACAATGTGAAAATTAATTGTGTCATTGACACAGGTTCAGTTATAACAGTTATCCACCCAAAGAAATATTACGCGATAGAAAGATGTGTGAGACCTAAATTAGTTCCAAACTGTAGTAACTTACAAATGGCTAACGGTGATTTAGTTGTACCAGAAGGTCAGACTGAACTTCAAATTTGTATTGATGAGGAAGTTACCGAACATAAAGTGATCGTCGCTGACGTTGAGTCAGATATGATTTTAGGTCTTGATTTTCTGAAACAGCATAATTGTCAATTGAATTTGGGTGAAGGAACTCTTACATTGGGAAAGAATAAATTACTATGTAACCTTAAGAGTGAACACAATCCTGTGTTCAAAATTTGCGTACAAGAAGCTTTACACCATGATAATGATGACCGACAACTATGTGAACCTCGTGACGAGAAGGAGACAAACGACGCTGAGAAGCATATCAGAGACTGTACCGTTGGTGACTCAAAGAAGAATCAACCAAGGGAAGTCGGAGGAAAACCGGGTCAATGTTTAGCTAGGGAACCACTGGAACAAGTGGCCAACGACATCCTTGGTCCTTTACCACGGACCAAGAAGGGTAACAAGGACGTTGTTACCAGTTCAGATTATTGCACCCGATGGATAGAAGCAACCGATAACCAGAAACGAAAGTATGGCACCAAGTCAAACCAGATTAAGTACGCCCCAGGACAATGTGTGTGGATTGCGTCAAAGTCAAGGACCAAAGGAAGATGTCCTAAACTTAAGGTTCATTGGAATGGACCTTACACAGTGTTAAGTGCCGTGTCCGATTCGGTATTCAAAGTAAGAAAGTCTACAGCCGAGAAACCAAAATATGTGAATCATGACCAGATGAAGCTGTTTTGTGGTGAAGCAGATGACATTATATCCGTGTAACGCGTATCTCGAAAGACATTACCAGTAGACTTGAATAAGTCATTGATTAAATACCCCGAAACGAGGACGTTTCGACTTAAGAAGGGGGTAATGTTACGTTTCACGAAGTGTACCTGTGAAATTCGGGTTAACTCTTGTTTACAAGTTTGGAATATATGGAACTTGAACCCGATGTTTATAAACTCCGTAAATATTTGTCAATGAACAGTTAACGAAAGAAATGAACAATAATTGATTTAATGACTTTATTAATTTAACATGTATGATTTAATGACAAAGTGGTGTATTTTGTATGTTTTAAATGGGTACAACGTTATTAATTTAGTAGGTAATTTTGTTGGTCAAAACCCGCTAACTTACTGATTGCATTGATTGTGACGTAATAGGTTTCTGATTGTCTCTTACGTCATCATAACAACTTTTGTCTATATAAACCAGCTGTTTTGGGTTCTGACTTCAGTCGGCTGTGGGAAGCGACTCAGCACACAGCCTTCCCTGGTAAGGGAAAAGTGACGTAAGTCACTTTGGGTAACGACTCCGTATACTTCGGTTATAAGACGGTACCAAGTCTATGTATACGAAACCATTAAGGGGACCAAGTTAGTAGGAACGTCCTGTATTGACCATCGGTTGGTCACCTTTTTGTTAACCAAATAACGTTGTACCAACCAAGTTACAGTGTACCATTTTGTGTGTTTATAAGTGAACCATTTGATCGTCTTCATAAATGTTATCAACTTTTAACAAGTGTTATTCCTAACAAACATTGTTTAAAGTGACCAAAATTTGGTCATTACGTCAACCAAATAAGTGACCAAAAGTTGGTCATTACGTCACTTCAAAAGTGACCAAAAATTGGTTATTAACCATTATATAAACTGTGACCAACGTTACCATCAAATCTCGACCAGTGACCAGAAAAACCAATAGCGGCCCACGAGTTTATTACACGATACCCTCGGTTTCGTTACATTGGTGGCAGCGGTGGGATCCGCTATTCCGTGAATTGTTAACCTAAACCATTACAAAGATGTCAAGGAACGAAAAATTGGTGGAGGAAAGTGACCATAATACAGAACCAAAAGAACCACAGTTTATCGACGGTACTCCAAGCAAAGAAGTTCTTTTGCGGGTTAATAACAACGACCAGATAGGAGACGGCAGCGCAGTCAACACATGTACCAACGACAGTCTACACATAATTCTACAAGAATTAAAAACTTTGAAGTCCCAAATGAACCAATTACAATCTCAAGTGAGACCAACGAGTGCTAACAACCAATATGTAGACCAAAATTGCGTGCAATCCGGTACCAATACTACGTCTAAAGATGACCAAATACACAGTGAACATCGCCCATATAGAAATACGTACCTAAAAAATTCATGTGACGAATTTTGTGATTATGAACATTCAAGGACAAGTTGGTCAAACCCAACAGTATCACGCAGTTATACTACCAATGCTAGGACCAACGAATTTCGGCCGACCATGTACAGATTAGATTACGATGTACCAAATCATGGTCATACAAGACAAGTTTATGACCAAGGATTCAGGCGTGCCCCGGAACCTAAAGGGAGAAAACCAGCAACATTCGATGGTACCATGAACGGGAACGACTATATAGTGCATTTCGACATAATCGCCCAATTGAACCACTGGAATGAGGAAACAAAGGCATTAGAGTTGGCTACCAGTCTACGCGGCCCGGCATTAAGCGTTTTGAGTGACCTACAACCAGAATCTCGGTATAATTTTCGTCACCTTGTTACCGTACTAGCAGCAAGATTTGACCCAGAAAACCAAACAGAAATTTATAAGACGCAACTAAAGAGCAGAATACGGAAGAAAAACGAAACGATCACAGAGTTAATGCAAGACATAAAGCGACTTACGAGGATGTCATACCCGAACGCACCCCTAGGTTTCCGTGACTAGATAACGAAAGATTCTTTCATCGGACGTTTAAATGACCAAGAAATGGAATGGGCAGTGTTTCAAGGAAAACCTACAGACCTAGAAGATGCAGTGCGACTGGCATTGGAATATGAGGCCTTTCAACAAGCACGGGGGAGACGAAATAAAGTTGCAGTGCGTATGCAGACAGAGGAGCCAGCATATACCGAGAGAAATTATTATGAAACAGACCAAGTAGCTATGATCAGCCAAAACACAGATAAGAAGAAGAAAGGTCCCTGTTTCTACTGCAATAAAGATGGTCACATCAAAAGAGAATGCAGGTTACTACAACGGCACCTAAAAAATGAAAAATACAGAAACCAAAGGAAACCGGAATACCTAAAAGACGTGACGGTCAGAGAACCCGAGAACCAGGGAAACGCACAGTAGTTGACGTCGGTGGCCGAACGTCAACTACAAAACAGAAAAGGCCACATGTTTTTGGAATAAAGAACTCAAATACTCGCAGTACCAACTTATTAACAATTGATGTGCTTGTTAACAATGTGAAAATTAATTGTGTCATTGACACAGGTTCAGTTATAACAGTTATCCACCCAAAGAAATATTACGCGATAGAAAGATGTGTGAGACCTAAATTAGTTCCAAACTGTAGTAACTTACAAATGGCTAACGGTGATTTAGTTGTACCAGAAGGTCAGACTGAACTTCAAATTTGTATTGATGAGGAAGTTACCGAACATAAAGTGATCGTCGCTGACGTTGAGTCAGATATGATTTTAGGTCTTGATTTTCTGAAACAGCATAATTGTCAATTGAATTTGGGTGAAGGAACTCTTACATTGGGAAAGAATAAATTACCATGTAACCTTAAGAGTGAACACAATCCTGTGTTCAAAATTTGCGTACAAGAAGCTTTACACCATGATAATGATGACCGACAACTATGTGAACCTCGTGACGAGAAGGAGACAAACGACGCTGAGAAGCATATCAGAGACTGTACCGTTGGTGACTCAAAGAAGAATCAACCAAGGGAAGTCGGAGGAAAACCGGGTCAATGTTTAGCTAGGGAACCACTGGAACAAGTGGCCAACGACATCCTTGGTCCTTTACCACGGACCAAGAAGGGTAACAAGGACGTTGTTACCAGTTCAGATTATTGCACCCGATGGATAGAAGCAACCGATAACCAGAAACGAAAGTATGGCACCAAGTCAAACCAGATTAAGTACGCCCCAGGACAATGTGTGTGGATTGCGTCAAAGTCAAGGACCAAAGGAAGATGTCCTAAACTTAAGGTTCATTGGAATGGACCTTACACAGTGTTAAGTGCCGTGTCCGATTCGGTATTCAAAGTAAGAAAGTCTACAGCTGAGAAACCAAAATATGTGAATCATGACCAGATGAAGCTGTTTTGTGGTGAAGCAGATGACATTATATCCGTGTAACGCGTATCTCGAAAGACATTACCAGTAGACTTGAATAAGTCATTGATTAAATACCCCGAAACGAGGACGTTTCGACTTAAGAAGGGGGTAATGTTACGTTTCACGAAGTGTACCTGTGAAATTCGGGTTAACTCTTGTTTACAAGTTTGGAATATATGGAACTTGAACCCGATGTTTATAAACTCCGTAAATATTTGTCAATGAACAGTTAACGAAAGAAATGAACAATTATAATTGATTTAATGACTTTATTAATTTAACATGTATGATTTAATGACAAAGTGGTGTATTTTGTATGTTTTAAATGGGTACAACGTTATTAATTTAGTAGGTAATTTTGTTGGTCAAAACCCGCTAACTTACTGATTGCATTGATTGTGACGTAATAGGTTTCTGATTGTCTCTTACGTCATCATAACAACTTTTGTCTATATAAACCAGCTGTTTTGGGTTCTGACTTCAGTCGGCTGTGGGGAGTGACTCAGCACACAGCCTTCCCTGGTAAGGGAAAAGTGACGTAAGTCACTTTGGGTAACGACTCCGTATACTTCGGTTATAAGACGGTACCAAGTCTATGTATACGAAACCATTAAGGGGACCAAGTTAGTAGGAACGTCCTGTATTGACCATCGGTTGGTCACCTTTTTGTTAACCAAATAACGTTGTACCAACCAAGTTACAGTGTACCATTTTGTGTGTTTATAAGTGAACCATTTGATCGTCTTAATAAATGTTATCAACTTTTAACAAGTGTTATTCCTAACAAACATTGTTTAAAGTGACCAAAATTTGGTCATTACGTCAACCTATTAAGTGACCAAAAGTTGGTCATTACGTCAACCAAATAAGTGACCAAAAGTTGGTCATTACGTCAACCAAAGAAGTGACCAAAAGTTGGTCATTCTGTTAACCAATTAAGTGACCAAAAATTGGTTATTAACCATTATATAAACTGTGACCAACGTTACCATCAAATCTCGACCAGTGACCAGAAAAACCAATAGCGGCCCACGAGTTTATTACACGATACCCTCGGTTTCGTTACACTATTCACATATTGATAGAGGAAGTTAATGTGACTGCGAGTATTCAACATGACAAGTCATTTCAAATAGAGAACAAAACATAGTGAATCAGTACTCCCATATTTCTTGTTCTAATCCTATGGTTTGTCAATACACAAATGGAAAAACGTCGTTTTCGTTTTTGACATTGCAATGATAGGTAACCAACCATTCAATAAATCACTTACCATACACAGCTTTAAGATTCTGCTCTCCGCTAACTCCAGCGTTTAATTCCTTATTGCCAATGTGAGATTTTAGCTGAAGGGGTGATCCTTCACCAAACGGGTTTCTTCTTTTGGGCATTTTCTTGTCTTTGTTTACTTGTGGACAGTTTCGCGGGGTAAAGTAGCGTTTCCGGTATTCATAGTATCCGAATTATGACGAATAAAAGTTCCGGTTTATGACTCCAAAATCAATATTCGATTTGTGAGATTTTAAGCTCAATAACAGATAGAAGAAGGAGGTTTTATTGAATATTTTATCTTTAAATTTAAATAACAATTTTTTGTTCCCCAAAAAAGAAGGTTGGGAGGACAGATGCCCAGCAAAATCGATCCCTACCCACCACATCCACCCCTCACATCTTTGGTCAACTAAAAACTTAATTCACTTAGAAACATTCTCAGTGACTCTAGACACAGGTACTCTATCAATTATTATTTGGTAGACTTTACTTTACCGGTCCCCAGATCCGCAAGATCCTCGCGCTCATTGGACTATGACGTAACAACTACGTCACTCAACTGAAATGGGTTAAATCTGCACACTATTCGACTGATTAGGGTTAGTCTTGCACCCACCTGAGAGATTAGGGTTAGTCCTTGCACTAGTATTCGACTGATTAGGGTTAGTCTCGCGTCCATCCGAGAAATTAGGGTTAGTCCTCGCACATTATTCGACTGATTAGGGTTAGTTTAGCATCTGCCCGGGAGATTTCGTCTGAACGTCTTAGTCCTTGCATACCATACGATGGATTAGGGTTAGTGAATCGTTCTTTTAGAATTTAGTTAAGTTAAGAAATTCAGTTGTTTCTGTAATTTTTCCAAGATCATAATTCAGATTCATATGCATTTCCTTCGTTTGTTTACATGGAAGATTGGCTAAGTCCGAAAGAAATGACATTAAGCATGCGCCGCACGCGCTTCGTTCAGAATTATTCTTTGTCGATTTTTTCCATGAATAAACAACTATTTATTAATTTTTTTCAGAGAACGAGGTTAAAAACTTTGTTTAAAAACAAAGTTTTAAACTAAACTTTTAACCGTAGAATTCAATTTTGGGGTCAAAAGGCCAAAAAACCTCGTATTTAAATTTTTTTTCGATCGCTCACGCGATCTCATATATACTGAAGTCGCCTTCGGCGACACAACATTTTAGCGCGTTTTCTGGGGACCGGTAAAGTAAAGTCGTTCCAGTATTTAACCTTTGATATCTCGAATCCTCGGATATCTCGAAGTTTTTTCTCAGTCCCATCAGGTTTGAGATAACGAAGTTTGACTGTATATAAACTGTATATATATCACTGTACATGTATAAAACTATATATCAACAACAAGAAGCTTTAAACACTAACAAAAAGTTTTTTTTGGACTTGGAGAAAAATATCTCATATCATTTGCATATTGATATATCTAGATCATAAATTGTGTAATTAACTCAATAATTGTAAATAACAGGAAAGGATAAACTGTATGGCATGACAGGGAATGAAACCCACATTCCTCATTCTTAAATTGGATTAGTTTGCCCTGAAAGAAGTACATCCCAGTTTCTTTTTGCCCTAGACAAGATTTTCAACTGCAACTAAAGGATGGTCAATGGCACCAAATTATTTAACAAACTAAAGAGAAAATGTATTGCCAAACCTGGAATCAAACCCCATACCCCTGTATCTCTAGTCAGGTGCTCTAAGAAAATGTGCTCTCCAAGGCCAATATCCATTGCCCAAATCATTATACTCCTCCCTTCAAGATTGTCTTCATGCTCTAAAACCAATCTGATTAAAATCAGATCCTTTGATCTGCTCACATAGATCGCTACACAAGGTTGTGTAACCATCTATGTGAGCTGATCAAAGAATCTGATTTTAATCAGATTGGCTCTAAAACACAACCCAAGTTCTAATTTGCCCCTGACATGCAATAAATAGACAGACATAAAACCCTTCATTAAAACTGATTCCATATATAAGAGATACATTTGTGTATGATATAAGATATATGACCCATCACTCTGGTGATTAACACTTTCCTTCCAGTTTAGAGTTGAGCAAGGTCCTTCATGATGCTGTATAACATTGCTCATTTTTTGGTTAGTCATCCAAAACTAGATATTATACATCATAATTGACAAAGAATTGATAAATTACGTAACTCAGACACATGGCATATATTGGCAACAAATGCCATCTAGTCACATTATGCTTTTGAAATCTTTCTCAAATCTTCTACCGGGTAAATCAAAAATACAAAATTGCTATGAACACATGTTATGGCAACACAGTTTTGCATTTATTTACATAAATATCAACAAACAAAAGTTAGAATCTCTCTGATGCCCTGGAGGCCACACTCCGCATATTTCCATAGACTTTAGAGGGTGGGCTACCTGTGAAGAAAATAAACACTGCAGCTGTACGCATATTTAACAGATAGAGTACAGTTGTGTATTAAGTTTATTCATATGTACAAGTATAACTTGCCATTTAACTTGACTCTATAAATAAATTTCACCCTGTAAAGATTTTTAAAACCAGAAGTCTCTGTCGAGACTGAAGCTCTACTGGTTTGTACTTATAGCAAAGGAAGAGAAAAGTACTTAAGCAGTTGGGAATTGAAACTTTACAACAGCAATAAATAGAATAATGATCCTTGATAAAGTCCTTTAGTCTTTATGTTCTTAGTGTAGTCTACTTGTGTGCCAAGTTATATTGAAATCAGACCAAAACTATAGGAGGAGTAGCATTTTGAAACAATTTTACAGAAATTTCTATTTTTAGTAACCACGGCAACACCGTTCATCAAATACAGAATTATGTATCTTAGTGTAGTCTACTTGTGTGCCAAGTTATATTGAAATCAGATGAAAACTGTAGGAGGAATAGCATTTTGAAAAATTTTACAGAAATTTCTATTTTTAGTAACCACAGCAACACCTTTCATCGAAATCAAAAACCGATATACAGAATTATGTATCTTAGTTTGGTCTACTTGTGTGCCAAGTTATACTGAAATCAGACCAAAACTGTAGGAGGAGTAGCATTTTGAAAGAATTTCACAGAAAATTCTATTTTTAGTAACCACGGCAACACCTTTCATCGAAATCAAAAACCGATATATAGAATTATGTATCTTAGTGTAGTGTACATGTGTGCCCAGTTATATTGAAATCAGACGAAAACTGTAGGAGAAGTAAGATTTTGAAAGAAATTTCTATTTTTAGTAACCACGGCAACACCGTTTATCAAAATCAAAAACCGATAAACAGAATTATGTATCTTAGTGTAGTCTACATGTGTGCCAAGTTATATTGAAATTAGACCAAAACTGTAGGAGGAATAGCATTTTGAAAAATTGTTTACAGACAGACGGACTGACAGACAGCCCGACGCCGGACGCATTACTATCGCATAAGCTCTTCTGGTCTCTGACCAGTAGAGCTAAAAATATATTTTACATGTAAATAATATGCTTTTAATTCAGTTTATATTTTGTTATAAAATCTATTTGAGCTCACCTAAAATGAGATTACAAATTGCTGTCCTAGCAATTTTTATGTTTGAGAAGGATCCTAAGATGTGTATTTTCCTGTAAAAAAATGTAACCAAGAATTAAAAGAGTATTTTTTTTTAAATTCTTTAGTAAAATAATCAACATGAATATAAAGCTTGAGATTCAAATAATAAAGGCAATTGAAATCCCTCATTTATCAAAATTATAATTTTTTTAAACTTCAATTTATTAAATTTTGCCTTGACACATTCAAAATTGTTTAAAAGTGTGAGATGGCGAAAATAACATGCGGGTAAAATTACCCTGAATACAGTACTTTTCTTACTATACATTGTACACATAGTAAACCTAACTTACGTGTCAGCTAACACAATTCTGGTTTTGGTGACATTTTCTATCGTAAATTTTGTTTTCCCATTTTTACCAGCAATCCTCCCAATGGCTCTTGACAAATGATCACCTTTCAATGGTTTTACTGAAAGACAATTATTGATAATGAACAAAAATTTACCAAGGGATAAAGAAATAACTGTATTAAATGATGTATTATAGTTTGCAATGGAAACTCTAGGACAACAAGATATGTTCGAGAAACACTTATGCCCCATTCCCCATTGGATATACATACAAAGAAAATGAATGAAAACTGCAAATACTGTTAATTGGAATTTTTCTAAGTCCAAGGGACATAAATTTGTCAAATATTGCTCTATCGAACCCCAAAACAGAACTAGACCTAGATATTCTTATGACAAAAGTGTATACCAAATTTCATTACAGTATGTGAAACCTCTGCAAAAAAACTGAATGGAAATTGTTAATGGACCCACTGAGAGACAGACAGACCAACAGACAAAATGCAGCAAAGCATTATGCCCTCCCTTCTTGGAAAGGGGGAGGGGGGGAATATATATTACATCTGACATGTAAACCTTAACATCTTAAAAATCATATATAAAACACCAATTTAAAGTTTTGGAGAATGAAATTCTTTTGCTTTAGAATGATTGTTATTGGTGTATTTGAATTGATAAAGGCTTAATTTAATAGTAATGCTTACCATCAGTGACATCAAAGGATTCCAAAAATAGATCATCCAGCCTTACCAATGCTAGGGAATCCTACAGTGAACAATAGGCATTTGAATAAATATGTTGACAAGGATTTATATTTATCAATGGGCTTTTCATTATCATTCCTAGAGGTATAAATGTATCTGATTATTCACTGTTCTATAAACTCATCTAACAAAAGATATGAAGTTTTGTATTATCAGACTAAAAAGCCAATGGAAAGTTTTTAAAATTTTAAGAATCAATCAAGTCTATTTGATCAATCTACATATAAATTATGAAGTTGACAAATGATTCTCAGACAAGTTTATCATTACCATATTTTTAACAATTCATTTTCATTAATATTGACTACAATAAAATTTAAGAAAACTATCAGGCAGTCTTTGAAGTATTGTGCTGAGCAACACTTACATCAACATCAAAACCCAGGGTGAATGCCCGGACAAAATCTGCTGCCTTCTGTAAGGAACCGATGTCCTTTGTGTCTTTACAGGTCTGAAACCAGAATCACAAATTTATAGGAATGACAAACATACACATATTAACAGCAAGCT